TCTTGAAGTGAGTTTGATATGTAGCTTGGGACACACGGCTGTCACACAATAACTGTCACACAGCCCATAAACCTGTGACCAAAATGCTCTGTGAGCACTAAATCAACCCACTGTGTGCTTGCAGGCATGTCTCCCTTAAATCTCCCATAAGTCTCTTTCTTGGTGGTGGAACACTTATAGCTTGATAGGCCAAACATCTGAAATTCCCCAGTGATGAATTGGCAAATTAGTGGCCAGCTGTCAAATGCCTGTAACTTGGACTTTTGCAGCCCATCGCTCCTAATCAAGAGCACCTAGCCCTTTTTAATATGTTGAAGATAAAGTAACAGGCACTGTGATAGCAGCTCTGCTAAATGAGCCATTTGAAAGCGCGGCTCATTTTTCATAATCCTGGAGAAGTCAATTAGGGGACGTGTGGAGCTCTGGGAGGCCCAAGGAGACATTGAGGTGTAACGGTAGAAGAGAGACACAAGTGAGTTTTAGTCACAAGAGGAAGAAAACACAGCAGTGTCTCAACAGAAACACAACAGGGAAATGTAAGAAGCAGTGTCTAAAAGGAGAAAACAAAAGATGGGGGTTTAAAAATGTCAGACGCAGTGACAGCGACACCAGTTTTCGTCAGCCAGCCAGCTGCTTTCGTAGTTTGTGACAGACACAGCAACAAAAGCCAAAATACCCAATTTGCTTGTGGGTAAAAGAAAACTATTGTTTCACTTTGTGTGGCTCCATCCTCTCCCCAGAGACCCCTGAGAGCTGTCATACCACACCCCGCACTGGCAACGTGCCAGAGGAAGAAATATGAATTGAAATCCTGCTGAAAGGCTGTTAATAAACAGTGTGTATGAACAGTGGGACATGTAAGCATCATTACCTTATCTCTCTGACAAGAAGACACAGCTGCCTCTTTTAGTCCTGCGCTTGTCAGGGAAGGTGAGCCTTACACTGAGGTGTCACTGTAAAAAAAGAAGTGTTTTCTCCGTGTGAATAAAATGGCTCTTCTTTTTGTAGTAATTTCTACATCAGATAAAAGAAAATCAGATAGCTTTAATTACATTTTCTGCCGTGGTTTAGTGCCTACTGCAGTTTCTCTTTAACTGGGACATGAATTTAATAGTTGAACAAGATTTACTTTGGTCCACTCGAAGATCTGACTGTAGATACTGTGGAAAAGGACAGGAATAAATAAACAGAGGTTATTTTGTTGTGGAATGAAAAGATGATCTTGTCTGTTTATGAATTTAATTCCTCCAGGACCACTTTAAAATAATGCCACAACAATGGCTGTTTGGTCACTGCAACCATTCCAAATTCATTTTAAATAGCCTTTATATAAAAAACCCTGAATATTTGGCAACTCAACAGCTTTCCTTGGAAACATTTCTTGGATTTGAACATCGCAAACAAACAAACACACCCACGATAAAATGAGTTAATAATCATACATATTTTGTCAGGTTTACATTGTTCATTTATGTGTAGAATTAGCCTTTTTCTGTGTTATTTTATACATTATATTTTTGAGATGTTGGCTTTATCACAGTGCACAGTGACCACAGGGGACAGGCTGAAAGAGAGAGGGGGAAAAACTGAAACTGTGTCAATAAAACTGAAAAGCCAAAACAAAGCACGTTTCTTTTCACTGCAGGATTTGTGATGAATGCATGTGACAGCTCCTCTAAAACCAAACAGATCACCATAAACCAACAGCAGATTAATTATACATCCCTGCAGGCCTGGTTTGTAAATGACGTGCAATAATTTGAGGCACACCCAAACTAAAAGGGCCAAATTCATTTCATGTCATTTTTGAATTAGATTTTTGACAAAGGTCTTGGCTTAGGTCAGGAGTTCCTGCCAGCTTGGATGGCACCAGTTCAGAGGATCACGGACAGAATCATTTTGTAGATGAGGTGAAATTAATCTCTGCGTCTTTAAGTTCACACACACACAGCCACAGACACTAATTGGAAGCAGACTTCAGCAGTTTTTTGCATCAGACTCGCCCCAGAGACCTTAGTCATAGCCAGCAACAGAGCATGAGCTCATCTCCAGCTGAGCCACCAGGAGGAAGGGCTATACATGCAGGCACTGAAGTGAGGTCATGCCTATAGGTCATACATTTTTTTCAGATTTGTATCCAAATAAAGACAGTAGAAAAAGAAAGTAGAAAAAATGATTTCCTACAAAGTCCTTTGAGAGATTCCTCTGCTTCTGCTTCCTTGGGACAATGTGTGAAAAACACAGCAAATGAGTTCAGGCCACACCAGAGTGTGATGTAATCTGCTCCTTGGAGACACTCTGTCTCTGATCCAAATGTAAACCCACAAGTCAAGAACCTTCTATCAATCAAAAACTAATGGGTCTTTAATCACATACCCAACACTAAATTATTTAAAACTGAACCAGGTTATTGATGTTTTCTGATGTTGTTGAGTGTTTGTTTATATCAGGATAATTTCTAAACAGGGGTAAAGCAGACCAATGTTTTCAATTGTAATCAGTTAAGTAAACAAAGATTTTAAAAGTCAATGAAGATTTCAGTCGAACTCTTTAGCTACATATGGAGGAAAACAGTATATAATGTGTTTGGTGTCAGATAAATGTCAAACTGCAGCTTTAAAAAATACTCCACTGAGTTTACACATTGAGATCAGTTTACTTGAAGTGGTTAGATCTACTCTCAACCTGTGAAATCAGTTCTATGATGCCATCTGTGGCTCTGGAGAACGATTTATTGGGTCTGAGAAAATAACCATGATGATGTCACTGGGTTATCTCAATTTCAGTGGGAAATTTCACATTTCAAACAGGAAGCCTGTTTTACAGGATGGAGATGTGGAATTTGAAAGACGTGGGTATTTACTAGGCAAGGAGGGTCTAACGAAAAATATGCTATTGGTTGCATCATGGGAAATGTAGTACATAAAGCACCGCCTAAGCACCTCCGTGACGCATTATCTAAAGATATAGTTTCCCTGGATGGCATCGCCTTGGCCTCCAGCACCACTGTGAGGAATCTTGGAGTTATCTTTGATCAGGACATGTCGTTTAAGTCCCACATTAAGCAAATTTCAAGGACCGCCTTTTTTCACCTACGTAATATTGCGAAAATCAGGAACATCCTGTCTAAAAATGATGCAGAAAAACTAGTCCATGCATTTGTTACTTCTAGGCTGGATTACTGCAATTCCTTATTATCAGGCTGCTCGAAAAAGTCCATTAAGACTCTTCAGCTGATCCAGAATGCTGCAGCACGTGTTCTGACAGGAACCAGGAAAAGAGATCACATTTCTCCTGTTTTAGCTTCTTTGCATTGGCTTCCAGTAAAATCCAGAATAGAATTTAAAATCATTCTTCTTACCTACAAAGCTCTTAATGGTCAGGCACCATCTTATCTTAAAGAGCTCATAGTACCTTACTACCCCACCAGAGCACTGCGCTCCCAGAATGCAGGGTTACTTGTGGTTCCTAGAGTCTCCAAAAGTAGACTTGGAGCCAGAGCGTTCAGCTATCAAGCTCCTCTCCTGTGGAACCAGGTTCCAGTTTGGGTTCAGGAGGCAGACACCATCTCCACATTTAAGAGTAGGCTTAAGACTTTCCTCTTTGATAAAGCTTATAGTTAGGGCTGGCTCAGGTAGTCCTGAACCATCCCTTAGTTATGCTGCTATAGGCCTAGACTGCCGGGGGATTTCCCATGATGCATTGAGCTCCTCTCTCCTCTACTTTCTCTCCCTCTGTATGCAACCTTATCCCATTATTGCATGTTACTAACACAACTTCTCCCCTTTCTGGTAGTCTTGTGCTTTCTCGTCCCTCTCCTCTCTCCTCCTATCACTTCCTGCAGGTTTTCTGGCTCTGGAGCTGTGGAGTCTGGATCTGTGGCTGCGGGTCGCCTGCTGCCCCCGTGTTCCTGCTCGACACCCTCTACTGCAACGACTATTGTTGCTAGTCTTATTGTTATTATAATCATTAACATTACGATGGTTACCATTAACACTATTATAAATATCTGTACCATTTTTCATTTAGTTTATAGCAACATTACCTTCGCTGTCTGTACCTCTGTGTGTATATTGTGTAGGCTGCCTCCCTCCCCTCTCTCTCTCCTTACATCCCTCTCTCTCTCTCTCTCTCTCTTTCTCTCTCTCTCTCTCTTTCACTCTCTCTCTCTCTCTTTCTCTCTCTCTCTCTCTCTCACCCCAACCGGTCGAGGCAGATGGCCGCCCACCCTGAGCCATGGTTCTGCTCGAGGTTTCTGCCTCTTAAAAGGAAGTTTTTCCTTGCCTCTGTCGCCTAGTGCTTGCTCTTGGTGGGAACTGTTGGGCTTCTGTAAATATCATCACAGAGTACGGTCTAGACCTGCTCTTTTATGAAAAGCGCTGTGAGATAACTGTTGTTGTGATTTGGCGCTATATAAATAAAATTGAATTGAATTGAATTGAATAAAGCTTGACCCATACTAGGGACTAAAAGCCAGGACATCTCGGCCTTTGCTACCTTTATTTTGACCCTTATTTTTCAAATCTCATTAGACCAACAACTTTATGGAAGAGCAATTGTTAAGTCAAATGTTTAATCATCAATCCAGTCTCAAACAGTAGCAGTATCAAAAAACATTGTGCGAACCTGCATGTCAAGCAAGTTGACATAAATGTCTGAGTGACCCTTGTGCATTTAAGCTTATGTGCAGCCTGTAGATGCATAATTCTAGCTTTATATGTAAAAAAAAAAAAAAAAAAAAAAAGAATATGACGTCATGTTGACATATTTCTATTGCAGCTGCAAACAGAAGAAAGTGTTTCAATTAAATTATTAATAACATAACAGAGCAACAGCCTCTTTCTAGACTCTCAGATTTGTTCAACAATAATTCTGGCAGTGGGCATAGAACATCACAAATTAACTCTGGAAAGCATTGAACATCAAAGATTGATGTCAAACAGCTAAAAGGTTATCCAGGGCCAGTTATCTTATTAAGAAAAAGGAAAACAGCAGAAGTGTTAATCTTAAGAATGTTTATTTTTAAGGTAAAGGATTATTAAGGTGCTGGAAATATTCAACAGACACATTTGTTGTTTTTCCTTTCCACATAACAAGGACAAAGTTGGGAAACCACAGAGTATGTGCTGTGGAACAGAAGAACACAACCCTCTAACATTATATACAGACAAAATAGTCACAGTGTAGAAGACAGGCAGGCTCAACGCACTTCACTGGGCAATTAAGGCAACATGTTAAAAAGGTAAAACACAACCTTTTCCATTAAGGAGAGTAAGAGTAAAAAACAAAACAAAAAACAAGCTCCAGGGAACACATTACAGAGCCTCCTTGGACCCCAGAGGAAAACACATTAAAACCCTTTGTATTGCTGCTGCGCAAGACAAAGAGGCAAAGGGAAATCATGGACACAGAAAAAATGTGTCTGAGTGACATTTTTCATTTCCCTTGACGTGTTTCTTTGTGGTTATGTACCTCCAGATCAGGAGCTAGTTTTTGTCACAGCTCCAGTTTTATCAGTCAAGGAATCCCTTAAGGTATTTCATTTTTTATCTGCAGACTCTCAGTTGGCGCAGAGACACCTGCTGGTGCTTTGGAGGAAGAGCAGCTTGGCAACTACAACACACCGTAATCCTTGTGTCTGTCCAATAAAATGATCTCCCTCCGTGTGCCTCAGCTGTGGTCGAAATATTCACCAAACATCCTGTTTCAGTGAAACTAGGTGTTAACTGTGTTAGTGTTCAGAAATTTCCAATAAATACTGGCAGGCTACTTAGGAAAACAAATAAAAAAACTGTAAAAAAAAAAAAAAAAGAAAATTCCATTATTGAGTTAGATTAAAAGGCAAATGTCCCAGAAATTAATCATAAATAGGCTGAACAACTTCTGAAATATGAAGTGACTCAGCTTCTTCCACGTGAACAGTTCATTGGTGAGGAAAAAACTCAGGGTTTATCCAGTCCCAGCCCGCATCTTTGGCCAGAATCCAATCACCTATCTGGTAGATCATTTTTGCATAATATTCATCTTGAGGGCAATAAAACACAATTTAGTACCTGCCTCTCAATGACCAGCAGTATCACAGGTCACTTAACAACGTTGGGCCAGTTAAGTGAGTCAGCCTGTAGGTTGGAGCAGCACTAAAAAGAAAAAGGTCCCGCCTTTAGCCCCCGACTCAGCACAGCCAGGCCTGCTGGTTGGCTGATGAAGCAGTCCTTTTATAATCACCCACTTCCTCGTTATGGGCCGACGCTCAATGCTGATCTGGAGTCGGCGCGGCATCCAGCTTGAAAGCCTTGAGTCAACGTCCAGTTACATAAGACACGATCAAGGAACAGTGAACCGAACAGTCACACGGGGGCGACAGAGAGTACAAATTTAAATATTACAGTATCTGTAAACAACAACTATTACTAACAGTCCGACATGCCGTGCCTGGTTAAGAAAATTAAACCATTCACAAAAGTTTGTTTACATACAAACATAGACTGACAAATAAAGACATGTAATGATATGTTAAACAGTCTTATGGCATTGAGTCAATCACGTATAAAGAGCAAACACTGGTGTAGAATCACTTCGCTTCTCTGCAGCCATACAACAGCAGTCCATAACCACTGTTACCAATATATATATTTACACTCTAAAATCTAAAAAAAAAAAAGAAATGTGGGCTCTCCGCTTTCCCTTCATCTCGCACCTTCTGCTCTTCTTTGTGCAAAAACAATTATTCAGTCCATTATTAAGTTGTCGTGTCTTTGCCCTCAGCAGTGTCACACGGAGACAAAGACGTCCAGGTAGAGGCGGTCGTAAGACTCTCTGAAGAAGAGGATGAGGACAAGGCTGAAGAGACAGGAGCCAGTCAGACACCAGTTCAACCACGACAGCTCTGGATAAAGGAGAAGGGGAGAGAGAGGGGAAAAATGTTTGGGTTAGACTGTGAGCAGTCTTTTTTTGAGCTGCCACCACCCCCCACTAGTGCCCTTAATTCCAATGATGGGGAATCCCAAAGCTACAACATACTATCATATAATAGCCCACGGGTTATCAAACTCTTTTAAGGACCTTAACATAGACACTTATTAGACCACACATCCCAATTTGATAAGATTTTGTCACGAGGTTCCTCATCTGATAGGAATTTTGCTTTATGGTGAATGGTTAATGGTTTGTAACATCACATTCACCCCATTCACACATTGATGAGCAGAGGCTAAGGTACCAACTGCCCACCAGAAACTGAAATTAACTCATTCACACACCAATGGCACACCCATCGGGGGCAACATGGGGTTCAGTGTCTTTGCCAAGGACACTTCAACATGCAGGATAGGGTAAGCGAGGGATTGAAACCCCGACCTTCTGATAAGTGGACGACTGCAGAGTGTATGACAGCCCCAGCCAAAATAGTCAGACATGTCGTCACTGTGTTACTTATGAATAGAACTGATTTGTGTTGCTTGCATTGGTATCTGTGACGAAATGGTGTTTGCTGATACTGTTTTATTGTACTGATGTTTCCTGTTGCTCTGCATGGCTTGTCTTCTGTCTTAAGAATTTTTGTTTTGTTTTGTTGCTGTCTTTATGGTGTTTTGATGTCTGTGTTCTGTAAATTTGATCATTTAAAGGTTTCAAAACAATCTTGCCGAAGGACTGCTGTTGAAAATTAGCCAGCTGGCTAACACTGGCACATTTACAGCAGTGTCGAGAAATGTCTGTTGTCCTATATAAATATATGTAAATAAATGAAATGAAAATATAGTGAAAATAAATGATTCCCGTTTTGGCTGGGGAACCCCCTACTGGGTCCCAGGACCCCTCTTTGAGAACAACTGTATTAGACAGTGTGCTTCCAATTTTGAGTTAACAGTTTGGAAAGAGCCTTTCCTATTTCAACATGACAATGCCCCCGTCCAAAATGAAATTGTTTCCCAGTTCGGTGTGGAAAAACTTGACTGGCTTGAGCCTAAGCCTAAAGTGGAATGCTGACTGCGAGCCATGCTTTATCACCCAAAGGTCTTGTGGCTGAATGGGAGCGAATACCTGCAGCAGGGTTTCAAAATCTGATGGAAAACCTTCCTAGAGGAGCATATTGTTGCCCATGATGTTTGGAATAACATTTGGAATAACAAACAATTACATATGGGTATTTAGGGGTGTCTTCTATAATTCTGTCCATGAAGCACACACCGAATTATAGTAATGCAGAGGTTAGTATAAAAAAAAAGTAAAAAAGAAAAATATATACACACCGATAGCTCCTTTGCCTTTGTAGTGTAAACACAAACAAAAATGAATAGATGCATGCCCATATTGGTTGTTGCAGATGTTATGATATGTGTATATGTAGATATGATAAAACAAGATCATACTGGCTCAGAATCTGAAAAGAAATGACCACTCAGTTGAACACCGCCATTGTAGAAAGCAACAGACCATAACATACTATATGACCACATGGTCCTTCATAATGAAATATGACTCGATACATCCAGAAATCTAATGAGAGTTAGTATAAAGTGAAATGGAATAATTTATGTGTGTCATAAAGGAGCAATTCCTAATCAATAGGAATTCCTGACATACCATATAGTAAATAAGGACAGCCTTCTGAGCTGTCTTTCATAATGATTCTGAATAATTCAATGATATTGGCAGTGTTCCCCATTATCATTGACCTACACTTGAACCTAAACATGGTGCAGAATGAGGTGTCCTATTTTCTCTGCTCTGTTCAAGCTCCATTAACCACAGGAGCAGTGCTCTGGCTGTCTGCAATAATGCTGAATCCGCGGGGCAGCTCGCAACTGCATTAAACCCTTGGCATCTTAACTCATCAGCACACAGACAAATAACCTCTTCTTCTTGTAGAGCCTTGTTGAAGAATTATTGTGAGCCAGGTTCAGGTGTGAGACTGATGAAGACTTAACATATCATGGTTTATTGAGCCCAGCCGAGGAGATACAGTGCCAGCATACAACATGTGAACACATCGAATGCTAACACCAAATCTGAAGGATAACATCTTTTGGTCCCTTTTTATGTCTTCCCCCTAGTTCCTGTAGGTTTCCCTATTAGGTCATCTTTAGCTGGCCTTAACCTAGAACAACACCTCTAACTGATGTTTATTCTCCAGTGCTACCTCATATTGGAATCTATTCGTATCCACTAGTTGTACTCTAATCTCTGAAGCCAGTGAGTTCTTGTAAACATTCTTATAAGACTCAACCTAGTAAGATTCCCAGAGAACACCAATATCTGCTAGCCTGAAGCCTGAGCTCCTGTCTCTACCTTTTCTGTTTGTCCCTAACAAGGACAGATACATGTGAGAAATAACTAGGGCTGGAAGGTCAGTGAACACTTGTGGGGTCAGCAAATGACACTAAGCTAGACCTGTCTTACCTTTCACTGTTACATCAATTAAGATACCTTAGAATATTTTTAACAAGCCTCTGTGAGGCACAAGCTCAGAATTTCACCATGCACATCTGCGTGAACACGCAGTCACATACCTTGACTTAAGCATCAAGTCTGCACAAAGCCCAAATCAATAAACTCCTTTTTCAAATGCATTAATTAGTGTGAAGCTGCCCGTCTCAACCCCACGTAGCTCTTTTGTCCTTACTTTAAGCAGAGTCTACGATCCGCCACATGGGCCATTTTCTCTGCCAGGATGGAGGATGTGGTGGCAGCAGGCAGCTGCTCAGGTCCCGATAACAAGCCAGACTAAATATAGAGAAATCAGGTCGTAACACACAGTGGAGCCCTGGGGGCACTGCCAGCACAATGTGTCTCAACTCGCGCTGGCTCCACTTCGATTCCAATCACCCAGCTTTTCATAATATCGTCAGTCAGCTGCCTCGGCCTAAAGAAAGTACCTGATCAATGCACGAAGAGAGTGGTGCTTGGACTGCACGGCAGTGCCTCTTTGTGGTAAATTATGAGCTTTGGCTGTAAGGCACAAACCTTTGTGTGCTCGATCCTTCACCACTTCCACAAGGAGAAAGAATGTTGGGTAAGAGGTGTGAAAATGAAAGCAAAGGATAAATCGAGGCAAAAGGGAGGTGAAAGGAGAGGGGGTTGAGGGATTGGGCGAGGGTGTTTGCAGCGAGGTGCCGAGACTCCTGAAGCAGCCTCATTAATCAGGAGTGTGTGAGCTGGACAGCAGGAGACCCGGCGTGGAGGCGGGTTAATGGAGTTGTGTTTATCTGACCTGCCTTCTTCACTGTCTAACTCTGTCTCGATTTCTTCCATTTAAAGTTGGAGACACGCAGTCTGTGTGCATGTGTGTGTTTGGGCCTCTTCCTAATGGGGGATTTGGTAATTGTTGCAATTCAATGAGGTGATGTGGTAAAAATGGAAAAGCAGCTCAATTGCTCCCCTCCAGCAATCTTTTGGCTGAACGGCAAGCAGGCAGGAGGGAAACTGAGGAGGAGGAGGGGGGAGAAGAATCAAATAAAAGCAAATTACATAAAAAAGGAAGGAGAGAAGAGCTCCGGCTTCCTCCTGATTGGTGGCCCTAAATTGTCCTTAGGTGTGAGTGTGACTGGTTGTTTGTCTATGTGTGGCCCTGCGATGGACTGGCGACCTGTCCAGGGTGTACCCCGCCTTTCGTCCGATGTCAGCTGGGATTGGCTCGAGCCCCCCGCGACCCTGTACGCAGTATAAGCGGTTGATGATGGATGGATGGAAGGAGAGAAGAGAGTAGTCACTTTGCTTGATTTCTGGATGCTCCTCAGTTCACTTTTAAAGTTGATTATTAGATTTTAATGATCACTCTTTAACGGACAGATCCAGTGTATCTGTCTCAAGTTGTGTTGCAGGCTTGAAAACTTCTAATACAGGGAGCAGCCACATTCCTTTTCTAAACTACTGCTGGCTTTGAAACAGTTGAGAAGCTTACAATAAAAAAAAATAAATCACTAAAATCTTTTAAATCCTTTCTCATAATTTCCTTAACTTTTTTACCTTTAATAAATCAATTTCATCGGTCGTGTCCTCTTGCTTTTACTTGTTTTAATGTATTTAACAATTAGGCAATTTGCGGCGTTATTTAAATGGCTGACTTGTAGACTTATTTCTGTGTTTTAGTAATTTCACTACAAGTAACTGCTATTCAACATCGATCAGTTCCAACTCCAACATGATCTGTTCAGTTTCAGTCACCATTGTTTGTAGTAGCCTACACCAGCGAGGAAGAAGAAACTCAGTGGATCATAGAACATTGGAAACATAGAAACCCCACTGCATTTTGGCGAGTATATGTGTGACTGTGAATGCCAAGTGGTAGGTGTGGATATATGGTAGATAACCTGTGGTAAGCTTTGTCTATTTAGTTAGTTTTCTCCAGATTAGACATTATTCAGAAAGTATTCAAAAATAGTAACGATGATGGTGGAGGACATTGAGCGATTCAACCCGATGTGCAAAGTTTTAAATTAGCCGTAACAATTGGTCATCAGCCACAAACAACTACCAGTGACATTAACTATACCATGTTCACTGTGACTGTATGATCATATTCAGCGGACATCAGTGTGAACACTGGACAGTTCATCATATTAAAAGCCTATTACTGTAGCTGCCACCGTCAGCACATTGCCGCTACAGATGAAGAAAGAGACGTGGGCCGACAGGCATCTTATGGGCTTCATCAGTCTTAATTGAGGTCAATGCAGCGTTATAATTATGTGGCTCAGTTCTCCTTTATGGCTGCAGCCTTTGCTTGAAAAGACTGGGGTCACACTTCAAGATACATCCACCACAAATGACCACTTTCTCATTATGATGCATGCAGAAATAGATACTGTAGATCAACAGGTTTCTGAGCACAGCTGTGGTTGTTATACTTATATACTGTGTGTATATATATATATAGCTATTATAATAGTTACTCATAATGACTGCCAAAGTATGAGTGTATGTGTACTTTGTAAGTGTGTAAACTGAGTGTATGCGATGCTGTTCTTTTACGCTTCTCACTCATGATTCAAAACACTTCCAAAACTTTAAAAAAACAGCAAATGAACAAGGCTTTTTTTCCTCTCAGGAATGACTGAGCTCTACAACGAAAGGTTGTTTGTTTTTTTTTAAAACACCTCCACAGTCTTTACGGGGGGTTGAAAAAGTTAGTCGGCAAAGGCGCTGTCACTTCAGACGAGAATGCAAAGTTTAGCAGGCAGGGAAGAAAAAAACTTCTCGGGACTAAAGAACTGCGGCAATTATTTCTGTGCTGAATAATCCCTGCTTCCTGCCATGCAGGAGACTCTTAACAACTCACAGCCGAACAGAAAGTCAAGGCCACCCCTCCTCTCCCCTTCCTCCTCATCTTCCTCCTCAACAAAACCTTTGAAGCTCTTTTGCTCCACAATACCTCTCTACTGCTTTGTATTCTACCCGATGCATCTCACTAAATGACACAAACACACAGCAGATGAAATCGAAAAGGAGCGACAAGTGCACATATATGGCCCGGAGGCTACATTCATGTTTCTGAATCACTTGGTTCAGAGGGGATTTTAAAAACACGACAACAGAGTCAAGAGGCTGGGTTGGACTCACTGAACCAAGACCGGCCTCTCATGGATATTAAAATTGACAAGGAGGTAAATTCATAAACGCCTCTTCGCTCACAGGGAAAGGCCATAATTCAGAATGCATAACGAGGCAGTGGGCAGCCAAAAGGAAAAGCCTAAAAATGAACCGTAAACTGGAAATAGATAGAAATCTTTAAAGCCAGGGTTGCCAATTTTCAATATTAGGAGGTAAAAAGAGTTTTGAAAAGATGAGGCTCATGCTGAATTTATCAGTTTTGAAGTATGCATATTATTTGCCACATCCATTACGGGACTACCGGGAGGAAATTAGAGTAATGAGACGGCCCACTAGAATACTTACAAGGAGAATTAACATAATAATCAAATTAATCTTTGCAGCAGGAGAACAGACCACAGCTGATTCCCTGGCTATATTGACCATTGATGATTTCAGCATTTCAACATCAAGGTTGATTTTCATTCAGAGTAGATATGGGTAAAAATCTGTCTTTCACCGCAGTATATGTTATATTATATGATGCCGATATATATATACACACTGTATATACCCTAACCTTTTTAGACCCATTTTTCAACATTTTCATCTTCATTAGGAATGACTGGGCTTGGAAACTGCAATCTACAGACAGGGTGGAGAAGTTGTTGAGCTATGTTGGACTAACAAGTTGGCTTTGGTTTTTTTCATGGGATTTGCCAACTTAAAATATATAAAATATAGAATCACGCCAGCCTCATCCTTTAATACATCTCACTATTATGATTCCAAAGGAATCCTAAACCTTATATCATGATGGCAATATTATACAGATTTATCGGCCCGCTCTAACAGTTCTAACCTTCAAACAGTGGTTGGTCACCTGCCGATGTGGCACGAACAGTAGACTTCAATAACTTGGTACCTACAGACATTCTGTACAAGTAGATTGTTGGCGGCAATCTACCACTCAGGTAGTTACATGAAAGCTCACATTACAACGCCAGCGTGCGGCAGCTTCATACTCTATTAGACGACTTCAGGGTGGGAAGTAAGAAAAGAGCAGCAAAAGGCTCCATCATCTCAGCTTGATCTTCTCTCCAGCTGTCACGGGGAAGTTGTCAGGATCCATCTCAGCACATCACACATCCTTCGGCTCTCCCACACACACACACCATTGCATCTACACTCAAAAACAAGCACATACGTTCACACCCACGGAGAAGCAGTAACACACAAAACATGCAACACATTCAGTTTCACACACACACACACACACTTTCACACCAGGCAGTCTATCATTCAGCACAGCAGAGAGAAGTGTCGAGCAGATCATGTATTCTTTATGAGTCTTACTCTTCTGACTGTGTGTGTGTGTGTGTGTGTGTGTGTGTGTGTCTTCAGCTGCTCTATCTACCCAAAGCTCTGTCCATCCACATCTGGTATATTGCTGTCTAATCTATGATTTATCACCATACTGGCATACTATCCGTTCACTCAACTCAAAATACATTGCTTGTCAGCTGTTTTCAAACAGCTTAATTTCTGTTTGAGTTATCCTTTAAGTGGTGTTCTTTTTACTTAGAAAATAACTAAAACTATTCCACTCAATATCCCTACAGCTTCAAACTCCATCTGTTAAACATATTGAGCCACACATGTATCTGCATTTTATTTCTGTCCAGCTGTCCTAACTAAAAACTTGAAACCAAGTCTGTGGTGGCAGCGGAGCGCTTTAGTCTTGTGCCAAAATAGCACCTCTTAAAACAAGACTCATTCAACCCATTTCAAGAATCAAGCACATTTTAAAAAAATACTAGTGCAGCAATCTCCCTTGAGTCTAACAAGATTTTAAATCTAATAAATCTAAATATTTGCAGTGTTGGTTTGTCTTGTTTTGAATTTGAAGACGTCAATTTTCGATGACCCTTCTCACTATTTTCTGACATTTTATAAGCCAAATTATTAATCATTCAATCAGAAACATCACTAAATTAATCCATAATGAAAATAATCATGAGGATTAAAACCTTCCCATGTTGGGGTATGTGTTATGTAAATGTTTGAGACCTGCTGTTTTCGACAAGACAAGCTGGTTTTGTGCCCTGGCTGTCGTACTTGTTAGTGGGCCCTGAGGGCCTCTGGACTCAAAGGCTGTTCCGGTCAAACAAGAATCATATCCACCTGCACTGGCAAGACAACGGAGAGCACACGATACAGTTGTCAGGCAGCAGCTGTCAGTAGGCTCACAGCAATCAGAGAGACTTGGCAGAGCAGGATGAAGCTTATTAATATTTATGAAGGTCTTATGAAATATATATCTTATTTACTCAAACAAACAGGGTAGAAGGAGTGTGTGTCAGAGATGGATACACCATGCCAGCCGATTGGTGCCGTGATACAGCAAAAGTTACAGGGAGGGTTAATGAAACAGAAACAGGCGGTCCAAGATCACAGTCTCATGAAACTGAACATGGTCCTGAGGACACACGAACACACACACGTACACAGAAAAACACTAGCACACACAAGGCCCTTACATGGATGACTGAGCTCAGTTTACTTATGATTTTGCCTTCTCCTATGAAAGCTGCAGAAGCAGAAGAGAAGCAGATGACATGCTGTCCTCTCTGCTGTGAGCCTAAATTATTATATCAAACTCTGCCAGGCAGCCAACTCAAAGAAAATCTGAGGCAAAATTACAAGAGGGAGTTTTTATTTCTTTGTGCTGAGTGTATCAATTACATTGTAACCTAATTTTCCCACTGTCCGCCTTTTATTGGCAGCATCTGCAGGGCATGAAATGGATTTTTCAAATCTATGGAGCTTGTGGCGTTTGGGAGGTGGGAGCAACCTGTAGGGGTGCAGAAAGCTCCTGAATGGTCCAAAAACTCCACAGGGTTTAGATGTTTTCTTTGACAATAATAACAAATACATGAAAGAAATATTTAAGTGGTGTTACCCAGTGGTTCTCAAAGTGGAGGACGGGAACCCCTGGGGATGGCGTAGAGCCACTGCCCGGAGGGGCGTGGATGTTTAGCAGACCTAAAGTTCAATGAATATGATTCATGTGGGGACATTAACAAACAAAAGTGGTCGAATGCTGGTAAGACTATTTTACTAACCTTAATCTTTTGTTTACTTCAATCACCCGAATTTTTAATGATTGATAAAAATTAAATATCCTTTTGCTGGGGCGGGGGGCATGAACTTTTGAGCTTCTGAAGGGGGCATGACAGAAAAAGTTTGAGAACCGTTGCCCTAACTCCATGACACTAAATATGCAATAGTGGGTACAGTACAAATGAATGACTAGATGGATTTATATTTTGAAAGCGTACCACAGCAACAGTGATGTCATTACATATTGTTCCCCCTTTGAATACATGCAGTGCTCCTGTCTTACCTGTACAGTAAAAGCTGAGGAAAAAGAGGAGCAGACCGGTGACGAGGTTCCCTAGGAAAGTGACCACTCCACAGGTGATGCCTTCGGGGACCGGGTACACCGTCTCGATGAAGAGCTCGAAGAATATTGGTACGCTGCTGTTAATGAAAATGCCCACCAGGATGCAGGACGTGTACAGGATGGCTGCGGAAGGGCAAAATAAAACAGTAGAACAACAATAAGTTATAGTTTCATTGGAAAATGTGATGTACTAGGGAATCAAATCCCACCTGACCAACTGTTTTAAAAGGATGGCATACTGGTCAGGTTTATGGAACAGCAGTGGTGATTTATGCCACCTTCCACAGCTTCCTACTGTCCCATTTGTTCTCAGCAGCACTACGATTTATGAAGAAATAATTTACCAGAAACCAAACCAAAATACTGTATGTGGATGGAAAATGCCCCCCCCCCCACTTCTTGGTTGAATAGAAAATAAAATGCCGATATATATATATACTTATCTCAGCAATTTATTGTAAACTGTTTGTGTGTTCATGTCTGCAGAGCAATCAGAAAGCGTTGAGTATGTTTGGCCAGCTCAGAGTCTAGTCTCAGCTGTCCTCCTTTGGCTGGAACCTGAAGTAAAATGTGTGAATGTGTATTAGAGTCGATGTGCGGGGAGATTAAGCCATCACCTCTGGAGCATCACGGTACCCTCCATCTCCCTTATCAAAGCAGATTGGTCCAAATGAGCTCCCCATTAGCCTGCACGTCCCTTTTATCACAGTGCCTCCAAGGGCCCTCCTGTGCCTGCCTGCCTGCCTGCCTGTGACAGGGAACCCAGAAACCACTCATGCAGCCATCAAAGGCAGCCTTCTCCTCTGCTCATCTTTATTCAACCCTGATGAAGTACTGATATCAAACACTTAGGAGCGCCTCAACCACTGCACTTTTCCCCCTCACATTATTGAATTAGGCTATCTGGTGCCATTTCCCAGAAGGCAGCAGGAGATCATTTAAAGGAAGGAAGACATGTGGTGAGCAGAGCAGCGGAGGAACATGGGGTGCACCTTGTTGGCCTGAAGACAAGACAATGCATTTATCTAGAAATTATATTGAGTATTACAATTGATCACTAGATATTTATGCAATTAGGCCTGAAACTAACAATTACATTAATTAATAATCATACACTACTCAAAAAAATAAAGGGAACACTTAAACAACACAATGTAACTCCAAGTCAATCACACTCCTGTGAAATCAAACTTAGGAAGCAACACTGATTGACAATCAATTTCACATGCTTTTGTGCAAATGGAATAGACAACAGGTGGAAATTATAGGCAATTAGCAAGACACCCCCAATTAAAGGAGTGGTTCTGCAGGTGGTGACCACAGACCACTTCTCAGTTCCTATGCTTCCTGGCTGATGTTTTGGTCACTTCTAAATGCTGGCAGTGCTTTCACTCTAGTGGTAACATGCGACGGAGTCTACAACCCACACAAGTGGCTCAGGTAGTGCAGCTCATCCAGGATGGCACATCAATGCGAGATGTGGCAAGAAGGTTTGCTGTGTCTGTCAGCGTAGTGTCCAGAGCATGGAGGCGCTACCAGGAGACAGGCCAGTACATCAGGAGACGTGGAGGAGGCCGTAGGAGGGCAACAACCCAGCAGCAGGACCGTTACCTCCGCCTTTGTGCAAGGAGGAGCAGGAGGAGCACTGCCAGAGCCCTGCAAAATGACCTCCAGCAGGCCACAAATGTGCATGTGTCTGCTCAAACGCTCAGAAACGGACTCCATGAGGGTGGTATGAGGGCCCGACGTCCACAGGTGGGGGTTGTGCTTATAGCCCAACACCGTGCAGGACGTTTGGCATTTGCCAGAGAACACCAAGATTGGCAAATTCGCCACTGGCGCCCTGTGCTCTTCACAGATGAAAGCAGGTTCACACTGAGCACATGTGACAGACGTGACAGAGTCTGGAGACACCGTGGAGAACGTTCTGCTGCCTGCAACATCCTCCAGCATGACCGGTTTGGCGGAGGGTCAGTAATGGTGTGGGGTGGCATTTCTTTGGGGGGCCGCACAGCCCTCCATGTGCTCGCCAGAGGTAGCCTGACTGCCATTAGGTACTGAGATGAGATCCTCAGACCCCTTGTGAGACCATATGCTGGTGCGGTTGGCCCTGGGTTCCTCCTAATGCAACACAATGCTAGACCTCATGTGGCTGGAGTGTGTCAGCAGTTGCTGCAAGAGGAAGGCATTGATGCTATGGACCGGCCCGCCCGTTCCCCAGACCTGAATCCAATTGAGCACATCTGGGACATCATGTGTCGCTCCATCCACCAACACCACGTTGCACCACAGACTGTCCAGGAGTTGGCGGATGCTTCAGTCCAGGTCTGGGAGGAGATCCCTCAGGAGACAATCCGCCTCCTCATCAGGAGCATGCCCAGGCGTTGTAGGGAGGTCATACAGGCACGTGGAGGCCTCCTCACACACACTACTGAGCCTCATTTTGACTTGTTTTAAGGACATTACATCAAAGTTGGATCGGTCTGTAGTGTGGTTTTCCACTTTGATTTTGAGTGTGACTCCAAATCCAGACCTCCATGGGTTGATAGATTTGATTTCCATTGATAATTTTTGTGTGATTTTGTTGTCACCACATTCAACTATGTAAAGAAAGGAGTATTTCATGAGATTATTTCATTCATTCAGATCTAGGATGTGTTATTTTAGTGTTCCCTTTATTTTTTGAGCAGTGTATTAATATGCAGACTTTTTATGTTTAATCTTTCAATCTTTTGGTCCTTAAAAATGTCAGAAGATAGTGAAATATGACTATCACAGTCTTCCTAAAGCTCAAGGGGATTTCATCAGTTTTCTTACTGTTTCCGACTAACAGTCCTAAACCTAAAGCGTCCAGTAAACCCTACAGTGGTTTCCAGATGGCTAGTAGAGTGTGCAATGTGTTTAGCTGCCATGGAAGAATCAGAATCTAGATCATCTGTCAAGTGGCCAAGAATTAACGGTGTCACACAATCACATGTTTGAAGATGAAAAAGGAACAGTGTTAAGAGTAAAAAAATATCTTTACTGACTAACTGCTTCCAAGAGCTTGACATGAGAGTGTGCAAGTACTTGACTGATGGAAAGGTGCCGACCATGAACTCCAACTACCCCATCTGTGGACCTTTGCTTGGTGTCATTCCCAATGTCCCTCAACCCTTATATCCTATCATCTTTCTACTGTCACTTCTGTGATAAAGGTATAAAATTAACCCACACCCTATGTGGGTGCAGCATGTATAATTTGTCTCAACTTTATAAAATAATTTAAATATTTTTCTTTTTCAAAAGACTGGACACGTGTTCATGGAAACAGCAGATTACTCTGATCTGTGTGTGTGTGCTACTGACCATCCCACACTGGGATAATGAGGCATTTTGGCAGATTTTGTTGCAGTATCACACCTCCCTCTTGTATGATATGCCAGGTGGATGAACAAGGTTGGAGCCTGGCTGCTGCAGACTGCCAGTGTGTGGGATAAGAGGATGTGAGATAGACGGAGAACATTGCCAGGGCCTGGAGAATGATGATGGATGATGATGGGTAGAATCAGTGGCTTTGAACGACATGCTGGTAAGCTCATTGGTTTGGCTTAGGAAAAGGCAGCTAAATCCACTAATGTCCCCAATGGGTTTATCACTGATGACTACTAATGGATTGGTTCTACTGAATATGTACCAAATATACAGAGCAGTCTGTAAGTATTTGGTAAGTGAGAGATTTCTTTTAGGCTCTGTACCCCTACGGTGTTAGAAGGTGTTTACATCCATACTGAATTAACAGTGACACCTTTTATACATAGGCCCAAACAGTGAAATGTGTCCAAGACTGTCACATGACCTAGTTCAAGCTCATCATGTGTTTTGTTTGCTGAGCTGGACAAAAAGGTTTGAAGATGTGAAGCTGGCTGCAGGATTCTGCTGATGTCCCGGGGTTGTAGACTTCAGACATTTATTGACCGCAAATGATGATCAACCGCATAAAGGGTGTGGAGTTAATGACCAAGAGTGGTGCTATAGAGCAATGACAGGCTTTAAAAAGGTAAACACAATGTGTTTCGATGATGAACACTGAATGTAAACAATAGTTGTTTACACATAGAGTCCACAGTGTACCTTTAAATATGCCGATATCTACTTTATCTTACTTTGTGTTTAACTTTAGGTTCTTAAGAATTGAGGGAATACGTATAAAAAGGCATACAATTCCAACATTGTTCATATGATCTCAAATCTAAAAGCCAGCATTCCAACATCAGAATCAGTGTTAAATTTAAAATCCAACACGTTAATACGTGAAATATGCTTAAACAATGGACTGTATGAACTAAGCTGCAATACAGAGAAAACACACCTGGTCTTTAGCTAATTTATAGAATCATTTAGAATGGACTGTCCAGTATTTTACACATAAATCAGAAAAAGAACGTCCCATTTAAAGTATTTTGGCTCTGGTTGTATCAGAGTCTCCCAGCTGCACTGCCTGTATGCAATGTCACCTTGACAGTGATGCTGCTGTGGACCCACCTGCAGTGGAGGGGAGGTGAGTGACTCTAGTCAGACAAGTTAGTGTGAACCAGGTAGAGGACAGTGAGGCTCCTGCCAGCATCAGCACCAGAATCAGCTTCAGCATCCCCCGAATAGAGTCTGCAAACCTTTGAGTGGGCGAAAGAAAGGGTGGAAAAAGAAGGAATATCAATTTATTTTTAAAAATTTAAGGAAAGTGCAACATATTCAAGATACCGATCCTGAAATACACCAGAACAAAGAGCAGACAAAATTACTGAAGTGAGTAAAGACAGTTGCTTTAGACATGACGAGCAGCTATGCAATTTCTAAATGGCTGCTTTCTCTGTGAGTTGTGTCATAATTTATCACTGGAGACATGCATTGTTTCAGTAAAGGCTAGATCATTTCCTTCTCCCACTTGTTTCCGAGTGCGTCACTTGTACTTGTCATTACACATGCAGACACTACTAAAAGACTTTGATTCGATTTGTCTCACAAGCTAAGCAGGCAGGCTTAAGATGCGCATTCATTGTATTATATTGTGGAAGACAAGCCATCGGGCCATTCCCAAAATCTCTTGAGCACTTGTGGTTTCTCTTTGTAGCCCTTTCTAAACCCTCACAGTTCATTAACTCCTCTCCACTCCTCTGGGTATGCATGTGTATGGTTGTGAAAGATTAGATGAAGCTACACGAGCCTGTAGCAAAGACAGACACTAATTACTTTTGTTTTGTTGCTCACAGACAAAATGCTTGAGAAAAGAGGCCTGAACTTGACAATGAACTTAATGCAAGAATAAAAAAGGAAGTGTTGGAAAAGGCTGATTAGTTCAGCTAGGTTGTGAAGTTCTGTCAGTATGATGAGGGCCGGGGGAATGAGGGAAATCATCCTTTGGACGGATAATGAGAACTTCTCCACTTCTTCACTTCCACCACACTCATTTTCAGACGACATCAATGTCTCCTGGGATTTCACGAGCTGTCATTCATGCATCAACACATTACCTCCATGTTCATAGGACACCAGCTACCTTTGGACTCCAGATCACTGTGAGAGAATTTAGAGCAGGCTAAGGGCAACATTGGATAACATGATGAATTTTGGAGTCATATACAAGAAGTGTATATTACTGCTTTACACAACTGAGCTGGTTGCACTAGAAAAGGCAGTCTAGGCTTAGGGCCAAGGCCTTGCCACGACACACAGAGATGTTTCTCTGCCCAGAGCTACACCCCTCAAATCTGTATCACCCATCTGCCAATGACTGGCTCACATCCACAGCCCTTCGAGCACCCCTCATGCCAGAGATGGATGAAATTCTTAGCCTGCACCATGCCTTGCCTCCCTCTCTTTGCGGTTAGGATCACAAGCTACTCTCCTGTATCAATTCCAATCTGATCCTCTTTGCAGCAACACCATAAGTAGCTTATTTCCTAAACTAACTCTAATTGTCCCTGAGTCCAGTTGATAAAGAGCTTGGTCACTTATTGGCAAGATAAGTTAGAATTAAAATAATACAACTGAGCAGAGTTTGGGTTTTATAAACCACTACCTTACAGCTGACCTATGGCAATGTAAATATCCTAACATCATAAGTCTTATGTTTTTAAAGGGTAAGGCCAGCAATATTCTGTGTTTTTCTTACTGTCAACAAATTCTATGAAGACCAAACCCAACAGTGAGCAATTCTTGTATAGTCAAAGCCTGATACAGTACTTTCTTCGTCTGTTCCACAGAAGTCCATCATTGTCCAAAAAATATTAAAATCATATCAATGAGCCACACTGCAGCACTCGGTGAAACGATCCATAATTACCATGAACGTGGAAACCATAGTTTATTTTGACTCAGTCCCACATAGACTGCCGCAAATACTCATTAGAGAACAAATTATTTAATCCATGGTTGAAAATAGCCCCCAACAAATGCTTTATTTACCCATGTTTTAGTAATATTTGTTAAAAAATACAGTGACCAGCTGCTAAGAAATGACTGCACCTTTTGTAAAAATGCAACTATATGTCGCTGGTTTTTAAAGATTCATGTCCTTGGTAGAAACAACAGGGCTTGCCACAAACAGGGTAGGAGAGTCTTAAACGTATTAAATACTTTCTGTTTTCATAGGATTTGCTGACAAGAAAAATACAGAACAATATTATTAAAAAAATAATATAACAAAAAAGCACTTTGCTATAAAGGTTTGCATGTCTCCAGTAATGTAATTCAGAACACTGTTTCTCTACTCAGTGAGTAAAGAGGGTCATGAGGTAAGTCAGAATTAAAAGCCTATCTTTCACACTACTCTAACAGGATTTATTGGCCATAAAGATAGCATCATTTAAGTCATGTAGAATCAGATTCCATTTTCTGCTCGTCCAGTGCCTGCAGGGAATGAAATATCATCATCAGTATGATATTATCAATTGGGCCTGTTTACGTTTTTAGTGAGGGACACGCAGTAAATAACCAAATAGATGTAGATGGTATAATATGATGACCAGCATGCAATCACAGACTGTCCCTGTTTTCGGGCAAAACAAATTAGGCACTGGCTGATCCTCATTTGTGTTAGCTCTATCTCATCTCATTAACCTGGAGTATTGTCTGGCTCAGACCTTTGTGACGAAGGACAATAACCTGATTCTGTTTTCTGCCACCTCATCGTCTCTCACCACCCCCCCTTCCTGAGGCTTGTAATGGGAAGATAACGAGGGACGCTTGTTAGTTATTCTTTCCACCCTCGTCAATCTGCGAAAAAGCAAATAGCGTGCCACTGTCATCCAATCAGCTTCTGTCTGGGCCATGCAATTAAACAGCTGCCAGACCTGCCACATCAAGCTCCTTGCCATTCAACTATCCACTGGCAAGACACCGGCAATTAAATGTGTTCAAGCAGTGTTTTTTGGTGAATGGCAATTGCTAACCCCCCAAGAAATTTAGCTTTGCAGGAGTATAAACCATTTAAAATGTGAAACTGCAACACCTGCAGCACAAAAAGTATTTAAAGAGGTGGTATTATGGTATACTCTCCTTTATTGAGTAATATATCTTTTTTGTGCATGTAATAGGTTTGCAAAGTGAAAAAGCCCAAAGTCCAGCCTAAGGGAGTTCCCATCTCCCACAGAAAACACTGCTCTGAACTGCCTGAAAACAGCTTGTTTGTAGTCCAGCCTTTTCCCTTTCATCCCCATGACGCCATAGCAAAATGCACGTCATAACACTCGCCAAGTGGCTAGTCCGATACGCCCCCAAAAACACCGGTGAAAAAACACACTGAGCTGCAGCACACAGTGACAAGACGTCCGCCTGCTGCCTCTCCTCTCCCTTCCAAACATTAGCTACCCCGCAGGCAGTCAATGGACATAAAGTTGTTACTGTGATGTAGAGACAGAAACTTTAAACTTTAATCGTTAAAGCTTTATGGATGAAAGATACTTTTGTTACAGATTAATACCTCACCACTCTGAAACTCTTGCTCCATCCATGTTGCTAAGCTGGTAAGGGGATACACAGCTGAACCGAAGCCTAGTTTACCGGCTTCTCACAACCCGCCCTACTCTACTTCTGATTGGCTAGTAGTCCTTAACTAGGAACTGCGCATGTGCAACTCCCAACAAAGATCATTTAGAGACAAGATGTATCACTCCGTAGCTAAAACGAAGCCTTCAACACACAGGGTGAAAAGAGGAGCTGCAACAATGTGCAGTATGACAAAAAAAAATGGTGTTTTTTGAAAATGAAACCATGTAAACCTGTTCTGGTACAACCCCTAAATAGGATTTTGAACCCGAAAATGAGCATAAAATTACCTCTTTAAAGGGGGACCTTTTCTGCCCCCTGTGGCAAACTGTGCTCAGCAATGCACATTATTGTGCTAGCTGGAGGGAGACGGACATCTTATAGGCTGTTAGTGGGTAAGAGGAGGGACAGATTGCTCTCTGCTCAGTTCATTACCAAACGCTTTCCAGGGAATTTATCTGATGATGCCATGTTGCAGTAAGTTGATGAAGAAGGAGAAGGGAAAAGAAGAGGGAGGGAGCATTTAGTTTTAAAGGAGTAGAGGGAGAAAGAAGCAATTAAAGATTTAATTTCTTCTGTTTTAAAACATTTTTCTATTCAACGGACCCTAGTTGGATTACATCTAGGGGCCTGTCTCCCAACGGATGCTGCCAATCAAAGAGAAAAAGTGAGAAAAAATGCCATCAGCCCGTTGACTGGTGATAAGTAATGAGAACGTTTGCTCCGTGTTGTGAATGACCCAGGAGCAGCAGCCACAAATCACAACACTTTTAATCAGTAATCATTATTACAGATATAGATGTACACTATAAAACCGTATGGTGAGATATCTAGAATTCTGAGATAATAATGATGAAGTAATAGCTACATTTGGAAAACAAACGTCAAACTCTCTTTTTAGAGTTGGTGAGGAAAGCTGAGCTGAATAAACTATTAAAAACTATAATGCTCAAACAGAGTCTGGGGGTATGACACCTTTTTGTCACCTTTGACTTTTTTCTGCAATCACTCATTTGTGTTTTTAATCAACCTATATTATCACTATTTATTTTGTCAGATGACTTTGCAATTACTAAGCAGTGAAGTGATTGATATTGCAGTGCAACAGTGATGGTAGCATTTATGAAGCCGCAATCAAATCACTATTTGATAATTGCTCAACATTCATTTCAACTACATACAGAAAATGACCCTAAGTTTACCTTTAAAGCACTTTTTTAAAACCAACATTATACAAAAGCACAAAATAATAACCACCAAATAAACTTTGTTGATAAAAATCAACAAAGTAGCAGGCCAGATGTTAAAGCTGAATTTCATTTAACTATCAACTGTTGCACCAAAGAGAGACTAATCAATCCCTCCACTGGCTCAGAGTCTATGTAATCAACACCAATAATTCAGCAGCTCTGTTTACATTCACTTTCATCTCGTGCTGCAAACAGCCTCATTGATTAACAGTGGGAGTTATGGGCTCATTTCCCTGATTACAACTTAAAGAAAACAGTGGGCCTGCCTGGAAGTGCTGATTGGGCCTCCGCCTGTGATAAACATATATCCGTCAGAGCAGGAATGAATCCCTTCCTTTTGCAGACTCCACACTTTGTCTTTGCAGTGCGGCTCCCTATCCATCATAGAGGCGAAGTGGCTGTTGCATTAGCATCTATTTCCCTCACTCTATCACAGTGTCGCTGGATTCAGATCATATATTAAATGAGAGTAGATGAGATTAGGGGAGCAAGAGAGAGACCCCCCTCCCTTACCTCAATTCAACTCTCAAAAGTTCTTTATATGAGATTTATTAGTTATTGCTATAAACAGTACAGCTTTCCTAGTGTCAGAGGATACACTTAAATACAATATGTATGCATACCCAGTGACCAGCGCTATTTGAAAATTCATAGGTGCAAGTTTTTAATCATGTTTGTCAGGTAGAGGCCCAGGCAAAGCTATCAAACAGAACACAAAATGGATTTATTATATCCATGCTTTCTGAAGTAAAAAGCACTTTGTTCAAAACAGTCTTTTGTGTTATGTTATGCCAGAAGTACATTCATTGATGCAATAGATGGTTTTCAAAGTATGTCAACTGTCCTGTTTGTATCAGAGTTGAAAACTTATTTATATTAGTTCATCTACTTTACCTTCATCTCCATCTAGGCTAGCAGTTCCCTACTTTTTTGGTTTCGGCCCCTTTAAAAGTATCTACTGATTTGTCTATGAGTTGTTAGCCATACAATTGCAGTAGAGTGTGAAGTTGATTTTATTTCTTCTTAGTGTTTCATTTGCATTAATTTTACAGATGTGAAGATGTAAAACTATTCAGTACACTGAGAAAAATCTAAACAAAGTCACTTTGTGTAGCAGACGTACACATTTGATACATTTCCTATCCGTTAATCGTCTGCTGACGCTTCTGCTTTAGGTCCTGTCCCCCAGATGGGGAAGCACTATTCATGTAAATACTACATATTAGCAAATAATAATTAAAGCAAACTTTAGCAAATCATTTCTCTTGATCTAAAGTAACATTTTAATATTAAGATGTCCGAATATTTATGTGAAGCGATCTAAACACTGTTTCATAGGTTTTGCATAGCAGTTAAATTTTTAACTTCTCTCCATATTGTAGTCACTGTGTATACAGTCTGTCTGGTATTCTGACCATCTTAGAGAGATGCCAGATTCACCAGCAAAGAAGGTCTGCAAATGTAAATGAGGCATTATAGTAAATGCTTGTTTTCTAATTTGCTGCCTCACCAGGTCCATCACATTTTCACTGAATTAGTATTAGCCTGATAATCAGACTGAATTGCCATTTTGTTTTCACTTAAACGTTGACAAAATCAGAGGTGTGGGGCAGCAATAAAAACATGGCACATAAAAACATGGGATGAGAAGGCTTCATTTAAGTTACCCAGTATCACATCAGTGGTCTAGATATGCACAGTTAGTAGTCTGTATATAAAATCAGATAGGTGTATAGAAGCTTACCTGGCCATTGCTACTCCAAACACACATCCACCAACAGTTGACCAGAAACCAATCCAACCTGCGTCCACCTGTGTTAGAAAAGAACAGTGGATAGTAGGGGAAGATGGAAAGAAGGTGAGAAGACGAGAGAAGAGAAGATAAGGTTATTCATTTTTCACCATGCCATCCGTGACTGAATGCTACAGAGGCCTGTCAATCATTGTTTATGTTAAATTTCCAAGCAGCATTGCTATAAGAATAGCTGTGTGTGTGTGTGTGTGTGTGTGTGTGTGTGTGTGTGTGTGTTGTCCTTAGTTATTTATTCAGATGAAGGCCAACGCATACACTTGGCCTTAAAGTCAGGAGAAAGGACGTTATGGCCAAGCTACTGTAGCAGAATCAATAGGAGGTAAAGTGTGGCACATGTGCGCGCGCGCACACACACACACACACACACACACACACACAAAAAACCACTCACACAACGAATCAGTATGGTACCCAGACGAGAACGTCTCTGAGTGCCAATGTGTTTGGTTCCCATCAGTCTCCCCGAGGCAATAACTCATGTCCTACCAAACACAACCAGATGGAAGATGAGACAGCAAGGTGGCTTGATCTAAAGTAGGATCCGGTGCTTTTTGCTTAATCATACTCTGCAGCAACCTGTCAGGAAAATCTATAATAAAGAAAAGTGGACTATCAAAGTTATTAAATTTAAAATGTATTCTGGCTTAGTAAGTGATGAACGTCAAAATGTCATTATATTTGATCAAAAGTCCACTCCTCCAAGCTTTCTGTGTGGGCCAGCCTTTTGTAAGATGCCAAACACTCATTGGAAAGGCACCCCCCCCCCAAGTAAATTGCCCCCAGGGTTATAGGTGGGCACCCCATGACACCTTTAACCACTGCTTAGGATGTGCAGCACCGGTGCAAGGGTTTCTAAGGAGTATAACATGTACCAACTTAGGAAGATAAAAACAAATTTCTTGCCAAGCCATTTAAATTCTGAATTGCAAATTACTGTTTCATGTGTGGGTGGAGAGTTAATTAACTGCAGTATTCTTAGTGCCTAGGAACCCTAAAAAGGCCAGATTTAAAGCTTAATCATGTCTGCTATATTGCGTTTGTGTCAGTAAGCTGGATATGACTGTAGGGAAACAGTAGGGAAAGCCAGGACTCTAAGCTCTTGAAACCTTAACGTGTTTATTTCCCCTAATTCTCTCTCTCAATCTTTTGTTATAAGGCATTTAAAACCAATAATTAAAGACCTTATCCTTAGTTTGGATCAGTCTTCCAGTTCTGTGAATTCTAAATGGCTACTCTCCATTAAGGGAACAATTACATATGACTGATGAGCACTGTAAGGCACCTGTTTCCTGACTCATACTCATTACGGTGATGCTAAGCTCGGCGCTTAATCCTTCTGTCTGCAGGTCTAGCATATTTCCCTGAGCACAGCCGACACAGCAGGCATTCAAGCCCCAGGAGTGCAGTGCTTTAACAAGACCCTATAACAAATCAGATCCAAACAAAGAGCTTTTCCTTAGCCTTTGTCTGACCATTTATACTTTTAACCATCCTTTTGTGTTTGAATGGCTCTTGTCCTGGTCTCACCCCAACTCCTAATTAATACAAACACAGTGGAGACTATGCTGTCAAAATATTTTAACTGCAGGAAGGATAGAGTGACTGCATTTGAGCGTAATGCACAATCTGTTTCAAAACGAAACAAAGATGGCAACACAATCAAATGGCAACTTTGTCTTCAGGACTGAAGTCAATGTGGAAAGGCCTTGAGAAGCAGCTCTACTTCCAATGGCAGCTACATGCTCACTTGGAAACACTAACTGGATAGAAGTAAATGTAAAAAGACTGTACTTATTAAGCCTTTTTAGTCTTCCAACCAGTCAATGTGTTTACAATACAAGTCATAGTCACCCAGTCACACACATTCAATTGGGAGTGCAATTTGGGGTTTGGCATCTTGCTCCTGTATCATAGCAGGAATCGGGACCACCAACCTTCTGATGCGTGGAAGACCCGCTCTACCTCTGGAGCCACAGCCGCCCCTTCTTCACTTCGGGCAGCTACACTATTCCCAACAACACAAAATGGGGAAATCCACCTGGCAGAGTACCATAGCCTTGAACTTGTAGGTGTTGTTTCTTATTCAAACAACTTCATACTCAACTACAAGCCACCCAATGTGCGCTAGACGCCAACAGCACTAAATCATCGTCATAAAGTAGAGACGCAAATCTGAAGTCATTACCCGTACACTCTCTACTCCTCTTCTTTATCTAGAAATTATTTACATGAAAATACAAAAACGGAATAAACTCCAATACCCAAACTCAGAATGAGCTGGACTTCCTGACAAGAATCTTCACACAGCTCTCAGTCCAGTTACATAAGGGTTATATGACTTACATCAATGCCCCAAGAACCATGTATTCCCATTGCACCCTTACAAGACACCCTGAGAGACATAGTCACAGGTCTCCCTCACATACACAAAGCACATGAAGATTAGATGGGAAAACTGTTACAACCCATTTGTTTCATCACCCTAAACCCTAAGTTGAGTTTCCTAGGCTAGTTTTAGTCAAATCACCACATCAACTCTTGCTGTACCGCTGGCCAACTGATCCCTGCGTGTCTCTGCCCCTCTGCCTTTCATTTAATGAATCAATCCTTGGAAGTTGTTAAACACCCCATGTGGATTTCTGGGTCATATTTTGTAAACTCCTGAAATCTCAGCATGACAGTTGTAACCAGACAGTTGGCATAGTGCTGGGACCGTTTTTATTATCTGCAGGGAATGTTTCTTTTGCCGTCATGGTGTCCATAAGGGTGTTTTATTATTATTCTTAAGACCTGTAGAAAGTTTGTTTTTCCAAACCAGTCAAGTAGGCAGCCATATTTGTCTCATCGGATGACAACTGCTCCTACTGCCCCACAGCAGCCACTGTCACCTCTCAATCAGACTGCATGGCTAGCTGAGAAATCAGATGACAGAAGCTTCTATATTTATGGAGAAAAACCCTGAAGAAACAGCTGAAAGAAAAATGCTGACAAAGATCAACAGAGGGTATATGGAGGAAAAGAGAGATGAAGCAAGATCTGGAAACCGACTACGGATAAATCAACTGCAAGAAACAGAGGGAGAGGAAAGTTAACAAATGTATGCACTTTAAAAGACTGAAAACAGCATTTGACATCTGAGGTCTTTATTGGAAATGAGTATGAGAGCATGCAGTACCAAGTAGGTCTGGTGCTGCATGCTGTGAGAAGGGAAAGAAATGGACAGGAAATGGAGAGAAAGAAAGAGACCTACTGTCAAGAACAGGCAGAAACCTGCAACTAAAACAGACTGTGGAAATAAACCAAGAAGTTGGCACGTAGGTGGGATGCATTACATCAGATCCCGATGTCGTCGTTGAGCACAAAAGGGAGCACGGCAGAATGTAAGTGGTGCATTTAGCGGCGAGCAGACTTCCCGTGAGCCCATTCTGAGCAGGATCTGGTCTGCATAGATACACCTAACTGGAGGTACAGTTTGTATCTTAACAGAATGACACATAGCATTGGCAGCAGTACAATGTAGCAAGTATCAGCAATGGAAAAGAGTACCAGTAGTTTGTGAGAACACCTGCTTAACCACCTATTTACACCAAAATGAACAAATTATTGGACAGCATAAGGAAATTAATAGAAAGTATGAAATTGCTCTCTTGCTATCAATGCACTGAGCCCTGACCTGCGGCTCTCACTGCATACTTTAAATTACCAGAGAAACAGTCAGACCCAGTAACATTCTTCAGGGATGAGAGAAAGATAATAAAAAAGCAAGGGAACCGTGCAAAGCAAAACATTTTACTCAAATGAAAATGGGATAGAAAGAGGAAAAAAGTCTCTGTACATCATCATCTTTATGCACTGTTTTTGGATCCGACAGAATCAACACAGCTTACATACGCAAACAGGATGAGTTAAAGCTACAGTTTGGGTCTGTGGGTTCATAGTGAGCTTCATAGTGACAAAAGAAGATGTAGTATCTGCTATGGCTGTACCCAAAATTATATCACTTCATTCAGACTGAGCACTCTGTTCAGGATTGAAAAACCTTTTAGGGTGAAAACGTCATAAAATATAATATTCGTTAGTATGTAGTCTTATACTCTTCACAAACTTTATTTGGAAACCTCAACAGGAGCTTTGAATTTTAAAAAAAAATGACATTCGTAAGAGCCCAAGTATTTGCTTGTCCTCCGTTCAACTTGACTCTAAGAGCAAACATCTCCATGCCTGAAGAACAAAGACCAATTTCAGAAATCATCTGCTGCATTAGCACTCCTCCACCTCACCGTGTTTGGATGCACCTCTATCCTATTTCATTAGTTTTTTTAAGTTCAAAGTTTTGTACTCAGATGATATCCTGTAACAAAGCTCACCTCATTGCGACACACTTTTAACATACCTTTTTTATCTTCTTAACTGGCATGGATAAAAGAAATGTGGAAAAGAGAGAAAAAAATCTTTTGAGAATAAATGAAATCTAAGAACAATTTGGTATGCGCTCTGCTCCCTCTTCACTGAGGTATAAAGATAGAGGTGTGACGAGAAGCGTCTCATCCTCCACTCTCCTCTGTGTGATCTCCTCTCCTGCAGCACCTGTCTGATGATAACCTTGAAAAGATTCTCCCTTTGTCTTTTGACATACTGCTGTGTAGAGACCTGGAAGAGGCAAACTATATGGAGCTTTTTCTCTAACCTAAACCGCACTCCCAGCCTCACTCAACTTGTCTTCCTCTTTGGTGTGTCTCAGACTGAAGATAGCGAGCAGGCATACAAATGGTGAAGTGCACATGATTGGGCTCTTCACAATAGATAACAGAAGCTCTGAGTAGGTTCAATGGAAAACAGTGGAAAGAGAAAACCATTGTGCCAAGATGAATGATCATATTCCTCTTATATTTTTAGGCTCCTTGAAATAAGACTGAATCTGTTTTTGTATGGCGAGGGACAGTGTTTTTGAACTTTAAAGTGTATTTGCAAGAGGATATGAGCAATTTAATAAACCCGCAGAAAGGTTCAGCTGTATGGAGGCCCTCTAAACTGAAATACACATCTCATGTTAGTACAGAAACCTTGTGGCTAATTATCTCTTAACGTGGCCAGTATTTCAGATCTGCTTTAGAATGCAATGCATATTTTCTGTGCATCACCTGCATCTATGAAACTGAGGAGAAATGAAAGAAATACTTTACCAGCTATTCATCACATTGTTCATCTGAGTGGGGCTACACATGTGAAAAGCTTTGCAAATTGCTGGCACAGTGGAGGTTTTCAAAAAGGGAAAATCAAACCTGGCAAATGGACGGGCGAGCTACTTGCACTGCTTCGTTTTTTAATGCAGAAATACAAGGTGAGCCTCTATTCATACTTGGTTGCAACTTATCCATCTAAATGGGTAACCGAGATGAAAAGAGTGTTTGGTAGAAGTAGTGCTTTTTAATGGCATGGTGTTTGGAATTGTCCTCCAGTGAAATATTTTTTTGGCAAATTGCGAACAGAACAAAATGTGTCATGTCACTATTTAGTGTTGATAGTGACCTTGGTTTGCTGACATGTTTACTTATTTGACTCTAACACGTATGTAATGTAATTCTGTTGTGTGTGTGTTTGCTGCCTACCTGGCTGACTTTAGCTGGTGTGAGGACCATGTCAAGGACTCCCGTCCAGCCAGCAATCACTCCTGTGGGGACTGCATAGGCCAGAGCTATCATCAGGAACCGATGGTTACTAAAGGGGACAAAAACACATTGACCAACTTGTTCTTAACACAAACGAGATTCAAGATTGCACTCACAGAAAAGTCTTAAAAGCTAAGTGCATATGGATGAATTCTTTAACCAGGCGTGTCCATGCATCCATACTACATGTATAATGTGTCCCGATGTCCTAAATAATATGCTGGACATTAAGTTCTGAGAAAAGACAGTGTTGTTATTTTGTCACCCTCTGTTTTATTTATTAACTACAAACACTTACCTTTGTTTCTTAAAAACGTTACAATTATTTCTTAGACAGGTCCTATTGCTGTCTTAAGCTCTTTAATAACCTACTACTATTCTACTTTCACAGACACCACTATATAGTTCAAAGCACATCAATCATTCCTTGACACAGTTTCTTCCATTTAACATGCAGCAGTTCTACTACATCCTGTTTTTCCTAGTTCAAATCATTCCTTTTGTCATTATAACAAAAGGGCAAAAATGTTGTTATTTATAGATGAGCGCCTAATACTGCAAGCCTCGGCAGGTTCAGGATTTGATTCTAATACAGAGGGGTCATAAAGTGTTTCCAAGTCTTTTAACCAGACCACACCACAGTATGTGTCACTTTATACCTATACAGCTCTGGCTCATCTCCCTGCTTCTGTCACAGCAGAAGATCTATCCTTGTGCAGAGCGTAGTGACAGTGATATAAAGGAGCTACCTGAGCACAGTGGCCACAGCTGTCAGAATAAAGCTGAGAGGTATAACTGAGGGCAACATCCACCAAACAAGTGATAATAAATGACACTGATCTGCTAAAAGAAACAAGGGAATCAGTTCACACTGACTTCAGCAATAACAAATCAGACCCTTTGAATCAAAATGATCAAATCAAATGGGGCTGACTCCCTGTTCTGGTAAGACTGAAAAGTTAAAACTGGTACTGCTACTGTTAAAGCAACTACTACCACTGCCTCCATTATTATCAAGTGTGGAAAAAAATTTTAATTAGTTGATCATTTCGTTCAGTGTAGAAGGTATTCAGTCTTTACATCTTGGTTTAAATGCCATGTTCCAGCACAGCATGAAACAACTACAGAAAGTTGACCCTTTCTGTGTGTGGTCACTTCAGCACAAAACAAGTGTGGCTGACTAGTTTGACGAAGCTCTAGCTGACAAGTCCTTGTCATGGATGTAGCCTATTAAGAGGAACTATATCCATAGGCATGTTATTTGCATTTGCATACTTCCGTTGATCATTTTTTATACCCAAAGGTGTTCTTCTTAAAGTGAAAATAAAAAATGCTTTGCTCTGTTCCACACAATTATTTTTATTCATAGATTAATCTATATATTTTGTTAAATTCATTGATTTGCTATTTAGTCCATAAAAACAGCCTGTCACAATTTCCTGGAACCCAAGGTGAAATTGCTTGTTTTGTTTGACCAACAGTTTAAAACCCAAAGACAGGTTCAATTTACTACAACATCCGAAAGTTTAAGGCAGCAAGTGTTCAGCGTTTGGTAATAAAAAGTTTCTACTGATTATCAAAACGATTGTGACTATTTGTCTGTGTCTATTATCTTTTCAGCACTATCTAAGTGTATTGTCAACTGGTGTCTGCTTATTAAGTTATCAACTGAAATCAAACTGTACAAATAAGGGATACAAACAAGCACCTTGTCCCATCTGTTGTAAATGGCTTTAGGCTACAGATATTGTGCTACAGGCTCTGATATGAGCTGTTTGCTAATATATGATCAGCTCACAGTGTACAGTGAACAACAGAAGTAAAAAAAAAAAAATTAATTAAAACAACTCTATATGCCTAGTTGTGTATGCACATCTTGTCTACACACACGAAGCTCACCTCTTCAGGGTATATGGAACCCTTCCAATCGCATGCAAACCAATTACAATCACTTGGAACACCCACGCTAATCACCTTCGCCCAATGAGGTGGCATGCTGATTTAAATCAGTGCCACCTCCTCAACTCTAACAATATGATTAGAATTGCTGGGCGCCTGACAAATGAGGTAAGGCTGGCGGAGTAGGCAGCAGATTCATTGATTGTTTTGTTTCCTGCTCTCCTCTTTTATATTTAAGGACACTGCATTTTTTCTCCCTCTTGCCTTGTTCATTATAATGCAGGCAGCATCCTGGGCAGTATCGTGCAGAGACATCTGAACACTTTGGTCCTTCTGCATCCCTACTATGGCTTCAAGCACTCAACAAACAGACAGATAAAGTTCACGCACAAACCTTAAGTCTGTCTTTAAGTAGTAAACTCAGGGGAGGGGGACTAGTCCCAAGACACCTAACCTGTACAGCAAAAGCACTGTTGCTGTAAACATATGCACACCCTTTCCCTTTCCTGACACTTTGCACTTCAGACAATGAATCACTTTTATTCACAGAAGGCTTTGACTCCACAGAAAAACAAACACAGCCTTTCTTCCTGCTGCAGGCTTGTCTTGTCCTAAGCAGTATGAAGCTACTTGGCCTTGAGGAGAGTATGGAGGGACAGTCATAAAAGCCCTGTGATGGAGCACCCTCTCTGCTTTCCTCCCAGCACCCTTTTCATTAACCTTGCCACAACAGCAGGAAATCAATATCCATGCACCTTCTTCCCCCCATCCCTGAGATTATTTAGATAGCAAAATGTAAGCAAGCAGGGACTAGTTACTGCGTAAGAGAGGGGACATTTTTTCACTTTCCTGCTGTGATAAAATATTTCCGAAGGACTCCCAAAGCTGGCGGCGTCATCAGCTAAGTGCCATTTGTCCTTGGCAGACCCGGCCAGAGTCCAATGTATCAAGATGACAACTTTCCAAGCTAAAGTGAGTATGACTGGGAAAGGAGGCATCATCAATACTCAGGGTTTGGGCTGTTTAGTATTCCCTCACACTGCGATCAGAATACAACTATAACTTTACAGCACGTGTAGAGACACTCAGCTTTCTAATTAGGCTGCTGCTGTGGAAGCAGATGTGAACAGCTGGAAGCACTCATTAAGCTGAAGATCATTAACCAGCGCTCAGACCCTGACAGGCTAAATGGATGAACAGATCCAATCAATGGATAGGTATCAGGCAGACCAACTGACTAGTTGGCTGACACCTTCTTTTTGTCAGCCTCTATAGATACAGACTTTGCTAGGGATGCACTGATCCAATCCATCAGCTTGGCATCAGCTATCGCCCAGATGTGACCAATCCACTTTAAATACAATTCCAATCAATACAAATCTGTGTTTCCGCAGCATTTATTAGGTCACGGCAGAGTACCCACTTTATTTTCAGTCCCACAGCAATCTCAAGCCTTGTTTTACCTAACATAACAACACAAATTAGCCAAATTGGTTTCATTCGGTGAAGTACATTGATTTTAAAATTTGGGAATTGGTATTGGCAGATACCCTAAGTTGTTTTACTGTATTGGGAAACGTCTGATTGGTGCATCCCTAAAATTTGTCTGTGACTGGTGATGAATCTCAACAGTACATACAGATACTTCAGACTTCAAGTCTGTAAGTAATTAAATCACAATGATATCCTATGCACTTTGTTGCAGAGTTTACAATGGTGATTTAAGTTACTTTAAAGCTGCATGAAGTTTTTTTTTTTTTTCAAGGACTACAAAAAGAACCCTCTAACATGTTATCAAGCTGTTTAGTTGCCTATTTTAACATCCAGTAGCAACAGAGCAACGTTTGGAATTGTATTCCTGTCATAAATGTAAGTCCAATATTCACTAAATCCTGAGAAAACAAAATCTCTGTTAGATGTTCCACTTGTCTCAATGGCCAATCAGTTCTGACATTAGGCAATGGGCAGGAAGCATTCAGTGGAATTATGAGGGCAGTTTAGTTGAAATCAGCTCCCTGCTGCTGCTGGAAATAGGACAGATAAATGCAATGACACTTAACCAAACAATTAATGTGATGCAAAACCAAAGGCCAAAAAGCTCCACAGAGCTGCAGAGTTGGTAATATTTCTATGGGTCTGTCATTACAAGCAATCCCTTTTACATAAACCGAGCCATTTGATCATCTTTTAATAAAAACATTAAGTTGCATCACTTTCTCCTGAGGTGTTTACATTATTTTGTTTACCTGCTGTATGATTACACGTGGATGGAAAAACTAAAACACTTTTCCTGCTCCGTGTCCACTCCCTGAATGAGAATTCTAAAGCTGATGATACACGGAGCAACTTTCAGAGCAACGATGCTTGGCAATGTTGCCGTCAATGGTAATGAGTAAAGATTACTACCTTACTACCTTTCCTTTCTTCGACCGCTCCGCCACCCGCACCATCCCGCCACTATCCGTTGAAAACATAGTCGGACTTGGCACCAGCAACATTGCTCAAAAAGTTGCCCCGTGTATCATCAGCTTAAGGCTATATGTTGCTGGACCGTGATACAACATGCTGCCCAAACAGGTCACTGGAAGGCTGCCTATCACAAGTGGAACAGAAAGCTGGATGTCCTACTACTATGTTGGCCAATCCGTGTGTGTGTGTGTGTGTGTTTACATCTGTCCAAAACTATGCATTAGGTTGATATCAGCTTGGTCCCTGTGATCTATCTGGGGGAGCTCTTACAGGAAGTTAAGCCTCTCTGTGCTGGACAGAGGCCTGTGGAAAGCATGGCACTGTAGTGAAGCTATTTCTTACTGCAGGGGACCAAGTGTAGCCAACAAAGCTAGGCCAACTCCTCGGCTGCAGTCGCCCAGTTTTTCCTCTCCCTTCTCCAGCCTTTTAATCCCTGGCCAATGCCAAGCCAAAGGCGCAGCACTCACTCCTCAGGCAATGCTGATATTGCCTTGGTGGACAGTGTGATGGGGTGTAGTGATGGGGATGTTGCAGGGTTATAGTAAAGTATGAATAAGTCATTGTCTTTAAATTTCCTTTTAGCTCTTCCCTAATACCTTTCCCATAGAGGAAAAAGACAAAGGTGATGAAACATCAATAAATGCATTCCTCTACTGAGATTAGGGACCTTGTCATAATAGACCATCTCTCTCTCTCACTAACCGCATGCATCAGTGGTGTCTGTCTTGAGAATATATTGACGACCCTGATGGTACAGATGCAGAGGATGATGCAGTTTTCAACAGCGACCAGTATATTATAGCTTAGTAATTAACCTAGAGGGAAGGCTGGGGTTTCTTTGATAACAACCCAAGCAGATGGTGAGTGGCAGACCCCTTCATTAAGATTCCATATCCTTCTCCAGCACAAGATTCTGTCACTTTCACTTTCTAAGACAAGAAGCATGCAAAGCATCAGCAAATAAGAAACCAAACTAGACCTAATGGATGTGTAGACACGGTTGTTTATAGAGCATTGAAGGTGCTGTAGAAATATAGTCTCGACTGCTCTCTTAGAGTCTGATGTCGTAAAACATAACAACACTTGAAACTAATTTCAAATGCGGTACTGAAGTTTTACTTGCTTTACACGTCTACACCAGAGTTGAATCAAGGACACGTCAAGTGAGGCATACTGAATAATGTACTGAAAGAATGGTCTTAACAAAAAGGTGTCAGATGGTTTTGGTCTTTCAGATGACTTTGTGCGTGTGTCAGCATGTGTATTTGTGCTTGTGGTTTTACCTAAGGAGCTTGCAGATGCTGCTCCTGTAGCTGAGTCTCTGGCTTGCCGCAGCTACACTGGGAGGTATCGGTGGCCGTGATGGGAAATAGAGCAGGACTGCTGCAAAAAGCACAGCAATTGCAACCAACTCTGCCGGAGCACAGAGACACAGATAAAAGAGACATACATGTTATTTTCAAAGACAAGACAGTCAGACCATTTTGACATTGTAAAAAAGGTCACTGTGACATCCAAAGTCCTCTGAAACCATCCCTGGAATGAACATACTACTACTACTAGACAAGACTATAGAGGAAATACATGTTTGTGTCACACAATGGTACAATCTTGCACAGCGGTGGTTGATATAACTTATTTCTCGTGAAAAAAAAAATATCACACTTTACAGTTTGGTTATTTCCAAAAAGCTCATCCTACATGGACTGAGTAAGCAGCAGCTGCTTATTATTCCCTGATAAGAGTTGCATTCCCACTCACAATGATCTATCATTTGGAAAGGTAGCCAGTTGCATTGTTATACAGTATGTATGTCTTTTTTTCTTTTGATGACCTCCAAAACTTTTCATTTACAAAAGGTGTCTGCTTTGTCCTTTAAAAGTAAATAACAATACTACCTTAGGTTGAACAAAAGCCACAGCCTCAATCTATTACAGCATGCTTGTTTCTCTTCTCAGCGTGCTTTTAATTTTCTGAATCAGTTAAGCATAACAGTCCCAGCAATCTATTTTTCAGAGGGGCGGTTATGAAGATTATAATTGGGTTTTTTTGGAGTTTGTGCAAAATTCCTGGATCCCCTAGCCTGATTGTATTTGTGTCCCTTGACGGGGCAGACATGATGTTGTGAAATGATGTGCTATCGATCCTCCATGCCCTCAGAGGTTCTCGTTGCTTTTAGTACCTGCATACATAACCAGCTGGATCCTGTCTCGGATGGAGCTGTCGGAAACCGCTGCTGTCAACGTGGATACTGCCAGGGTGTCATTGGGGGCTGGAACTACCAGAGGTCCTACGATAAATGAAGCAGCGCCGCCCAAGTAGGAGAAGAGTGAGGCCACGGCTGTGGCGGTGGCTCTCTGGTCAGGGGCGAACCATGTGGTGGAGAGGAAGGGGCCAGCACTCATTATAGTTGGGCCGGCTAAACCGTTCAGAAAATGACCTCCGTGTATCAACCTGGAACAGAAACAGCAGAAAGAAAGGGCTTAAATTCCTCACCAAAACCAAAACAAACCATTAAATAAATCCACACCACATAGTGAGAAAGGGGTGTGATGGGAGCTCTTAACATCTGTGCTGTACTTTTTTCTTAAACAGCAAATATCCAGAATTATAATCCTGTGATGATGTGATCTTGTGTTTCCCACTATTTTAAAGAAACCATTCCACAACATAGGGACACAAGCGCACAATACAGTTTTGTAATGAAGATTAGTCTGTCTCTGAAAGGTTGAGTCTGCATTGTGTGCGTCTGCAATGACCTTGAAAAGCTACTATCAGTAAAAACATAAAAATTTGATCCCATATGATATTCCACTTTACGCTGTCTACCCAGGGCTCCAGACCGCAACATTTGAGCTAACTATGTAGATCTTTTAAAGGTGTAGGAATATTGTTTTTTGTGTCTAGCCTTGTACATGTGTATGTGCTATGATTGGTGTAGGCTAATTCTTGAGGGGGTTTGAGGGTGTACCCACAGCCACCTTGAAAACTCAAGTTCAGATTGGTTACTTTAATGGTCAGTCCAAAATGTTTGTATTTTGTAATGCGAATAACTTTCTTCCCAGATAAACATAGTGGTCAACTCTACACCAAGTTTGGTACCTGTTACATTAACAAATAGCGTTTGTCTACAAAATTGGGAGTCTGGTAGTTTGTGTGACAGGGTGGCCTGGGATGGAGTCAAATTCCTGGCCTGAATTATTGTGCCAGTCCGCCCTTGGCTGAGGGTGTTTGCATGGCTTAGATTTAGCAAAAACATATAAATATAAAATATTCCGGGACAGATACACAAATGAAATGGCCTTGCCACTTCCTGTATGGACATACATGAACTAAAATAAAATTACCAAAGCATTTATTAGTAATACAGTCAAAATAGGGAAAATGTAAAAACACATTTGTAGGTCGATTTAAGGTGTGCGCCCCTAAATTTTTTGCCTGTGCCCCTAAGGCTTTCAGTTAGGGGCTACAGTGCTCCTAGTAAAAATAGTAAGTCTGAAGCCCTTCCTTGACCATAAGTGAGATTGGATTTGTATGGGCCTTATTTATAATGGACTGCATCAGACCTAAAACTATTAAAAAACAATCCAACATGACTGCAGCGGTGACTCTGACATCAGTGTATTTATTAAGTTAAAAATAAACACACGAAGACATGAAGTAATGACGCATTTGTAATAAATGTCTGGAATGGAATACTGACCGGCTAAGGAAAGAAAACAAGGTACAATTATCTCTGGGGGATATAGGTAACAACCTGCCTCTGACAGAGTCCAAGTTTCTGTACAACCTCTCTTGTTCACCATCAGACTGAGCTGTGCAAGACAGATGTACTCTGAGATGTCCCCTGATGCCGCCAGACCCCTCACCACCTTCCTCCCCCTCCAAAACTGTCTGGCTGAGACAGCCAGCCACCAGAGACAGCGCACGGCTGATTGTCTGCAAGCTCAATAAAGACACCGTTCACTCAGAGCAGCTTGAGATGACTCAGCGGGGAGGAAGGGAGAATGAATTTAAAAAGAGGCAGCAATAGAAAATGATAACAGAAAGAGAGGACAAGGAGCGAGACTGGGCTAATTCTGAGTTTATGGTTTTCAAAAAATTTTTGCATACTTGCGTTCAGATTGTAAATATGACATCTAAGGGTCCCGAAGAGTCTTATTTAACATAAGTGAGTGCAGGCTTAAAGGAGAAAACTGGATGTTTGTAAGTTTAGTCAAGTTAACTTAACCAATTAGGTTAGTGAAATAAATCAATAAATAACTTTATCTATCTAAGGGTGTATGACAAGGATGTACGAAAACCCCTCCACCTTTTCTGAAAACTTATTATTAAGAAATATTATTCCAGACCTTAGATGTTGGAACTTGCCAAGACCCTGAAAAACACATAGCTACAGTGCTTTTGGCTTCTATCATTTTCAAACCACTAATATTACTATTTAAAAATAACTACTTTGTCAGGATGACAACCATATTTAATTAGGACACAATACTAGCGCTGACATGATACCCAGGTTTTGGTACCAATACCATAACATATATACATATACTGTGTTAGATACAAAATTGATAGCTTACTATGGGAACTATGAACATGTTTTTCTAAAAAAACAAACACAAGCAGCCACACATGAACACTGCCTAAATAAAAGTCAACTATGGTATTTTCATTATTTGAATCAGGAACTATGTACCCAATTCATAAGTAGCCTACATAAGATTACAAATCTGAACAAATCATTAAATGTCAGCTTCTGGTTGTTTTTGATACTCTGCTATAGACACATTTTGTTCAGTCCTAAAAAAGTATGAAGGTTTAACACCCAGTTATACATTTAAACAAGCAATGTCTTCAGACTTTTCCAATTCCTGCTTTACTCTTCAGTGTGCTTACACTTCTCTGCCCTCTGACTCCTTTTAACTTTGCTGCCCATTGCCTCTGGGGTTCACAGAGGCGAATGTGCAAATGTGTCACGGCAGAACGCAAAGTGCAGTGGTCACTGACAGACCGATTGGTGAATATTATAACTGGTCTCCCCTACATCTTCTTCCCACATCTTAGAGCTGTTAACATCCCAGCCTACACACCAGCAGTTCCTAAAATACTCCGTGGCTCTTACTTTGGATTCATCCTTCTGTGTTTTTAGATTTCTTTATATGTGTCTAAATCTTGCTCAATTAACTTTGTGTTTAATTAGGTCAAATTAGTGGACATCCATGACATTTACATGGAACGCAGAATAACCCTGGTTATAAACCAAATCAGTGTGACATCGCGCTAAAAGTAGTCACTTCCAATGAATTGTGGAGATGCATATAAATAAATACATACATATAAAATCTGAAAATGTGTGTATTTCTGTCATTTTATTGTGACTGTAACATTTAGAAGATACACAAATAGACACAGACGTCCTATCTGACATTTCTACTGTGTTTTATGGACTGTGTTGGATTATCCAAATCTACCCAACAGCAATCTCACTGCTGGTCGGGATAGTTTCGGATAAGCTCAAGTTTACATTTTCAGTTCATGGGTTCAGTGGTCCATCATTTAAATTAGGTCACCATCTTAACATTAGTGAAAGTGTTGTTATTAATGAGCTATGAAAAAATAAATCAGACTATTTTAGATGAATGAGATGCATACACTTTGAAATAACATCATGAAAAAAGAAAAGATTCAACATGTTGCTGCCATTACACTGTATGTATATGACGCAGGGGTCTTCTAACTGGAAGTTATTGTAAACAAACATTGTGATTGGTTCAAATAATCTCCCCGTATACATGATTCTAACATTGCTCATCTGCCTGTCTTTGACTCCACAATCAGACTCTCTGTCATTTCTGTATCAAGTGAGTCACTTCAGCACCTGAGGGATGAACCCAGTGTCGGGACACTGCTGCATTTACCACTCTGCTGTTTTCTTCCTCATCTTATAATGAGTGATAGAAGACGACAGCATCAAGCAATAACATTTATCTTCCACATTACAGGTGTGTCATTTCCACTTGTAGATTCCCGCATGTAGATCATCATTACATCGTGTCATTATATTTTTGTTTTACAGACTTGACAGACATGATTTAGATCAAACATGCATCTGCTCACGCAGCAAAAGGTCAGAAACCTGGCTTATGTGTTTACTTGCCACAGCATTCCAGTCTCAACCGCAGTAACTCAGCCGACATATTCAGGTTTCTCAAAACCTGGAAAAGGTCATACAGAAAGGCCCGTGGCTATCACTTGAAAAACTTAAGGTATTACAAAATGGCTTTAATTTTATACACATTAGGGCCATAGATAGCATCTTTCAGCTTGTGACTTATGATCATCCTTCTAACCAAGTGGTGCAAAACTCCAGCACTATATGTCGGAATCACTAGCTGATCCACTGTTTGGCCATGTCGCAACTTCTTGAAACATCCATAAAATTTTGAAACATTTGAGACTTTTTTAATGCCATCTCTCCATGATTAAGATGTTTTCTTGTGTACATTCACACTTTGGCGACCTCTAACTGAAACACTAGACATACTGTTGTGGCGTCACTCATTTGGCCAGGCTGGTGTGTGACTTGTTTCTGTAACATTAAAGAGCAGAGAAACCCATCTGAATGGATTTTTTTTTTTTCTTTTTTTTTTTTTGGAGCATACCTTCCTTGTCATTACAATCTCATTTAAGCCTGGGAAGGGTCCTGATACCAGACTGGTCCACCTGCTGTACTGTATATTTTCATTAGACACAAAAATTATTTCAAACCCAACACTAAACTTTTGTCCAAATACTTATTATTAAAGCAACAAAAACAATGAGTGCAGGTGGCTCAATTGGCGTCGGGCCCATGCAGCATGTCGTCCCCTCTCTCTCTCATTTACTACCTCTCTCTGTCCTATGAAGACTAAATTTGCTCAATTTGATGTATTGTATAAGTATATGATTTAGCAAAATATGACAACAAAACAAGCCAAACGTAAACTTACGAAGTGTTTCAATCTGTCTCAACACAAAAAGCTGAACTGGAACTTTTAAATAAAAAGCAACATAAAATTAATAAAATGGTAAACAGTAAAACAATAGTTAACACAATGTCATATCTGAACAAATAACCATAATTAATAATCTGATCAATCTGATTACAGATTACAGTACTTCACAGTTACAAAGTTTGGTCAGTAATTTAAAAGTAGTGAAGTTCAGTACCCGGGGTTATTGTCTATATGCTCTCAGGATGGATCTGAATAAGAAAACTGCGTTTACTGTGACAGGTGATGATGACAGATGATAAGTAACCTGAGGACACTGCACTGCCAGTAGAAAAAGTAAAGAAAGAGAAGGGAGTAGCTTTTATTCAACTCCATGATTAAGTTAATCAGTATTGATGAACCCTGTCAGATAGAATCTGATCGAAACGAGACAAAAAAACAGCACTGTGGTGAAATCATCTCACAGCTTCTAGTCCGCCAGGGCTGACAGACCCAATTCTACCTTCAGATAAATGCCAGGCCAATTCTGTCTCGAAAATGACACCACAGCAGTCGTCACAGTAATAGGACAGGCTGAGGGACCCACAATGTGTTGTGATGGCCAATCAGACAGTGTCTGAGATCTTACTGATAGACACTTACTAATCACATAGCTGGTTTATATTTAAATGCGAGAGAGAGAGAGAAAAAACCCAAGAGAACATGGAGGGTAAAAATTTGACGTCTTTGATTTGAGAGCAGACTTAATCACAGCAAGGTCTAATCAGTGACCACTGATGCAACACTCCCTTCTCTCTCCTTATCTGAACTTAACGAAACAAACGCTCAGTTCTATTTGAAACGTGATTGTAGCAGCTACACAGAACATCCTGGTTATAAAAGAGAGGAACTTCCACTGCTCACAAGTTCACAGCTGCCTTTGATTTCCTAAAAAGGACGTTAAAAACTCAAAACAAAGAGGTGGTTTACATCCTCAAGAGGATATCATAAAAGAAAAAGACGTAAACGCCCATCAAACATGAAACGCATGCGGAACAAACACGGATCTGCAGGGTGCTGTCAAGGGAACTTCTAAACCTGGATAAATGTCTCCTGATCAGGTAAGCAGGAAAGTCAAATGCTGTGTTTGATCGCTCACGCAATGCTCTTGCACGCACGAACTCGCACACTCACTCACGTCACTAAACAAAGCTCTCACAGACAGTCTGATCATCTTTTCTCTAAACTACTGCAAAGCAAAGAGTGACATCTACTGGTGATTCTATGAGCCTGTACCTTTTTGTGATATTTCACTAGTTCATCCATTAAAACAGGGCTGTGACCAATTACAGTGAATATGCAAATTGGGAGGGGCTGTGTCAGAACTAACATTCGCTGTGTGAATTGTGTCATCTTGGCTTTCAATGTGCTATCTTGTTTTCCCACTTTTGCATACTTTTTAAATTATTTTTTTCTATCTCTTCTCTATCTCTTTTAAGTCCTGATTGGTAGATTGGTATTAGTTTTTAGCATGTTTTTCATAGTGTTTTTGAGTACTTAGTATGTTTTTAAAGATGTGTTACATAATGTGAGTCAAAATGGATGCCATATTCTTACTGTAACACAGGTAAAACAGGCCTATAGGTACAAATAAAGTAACCTGAACCTAAACTTTCAATACAGAATCTGAAGGGTTGAAGGCGATGTATGTGACCTGGGCTACACACCTTGAACTTTTTTTATGCTTTTGAGCTTGAGATCAGCAGACAGCAGTTATCCTGGTGTATGGTTGCATTTCAGAGGGGTGAGACTTAAAGCATGTTGCAGGTGCTGTTTTTTTTACTGGACTGATGCTTCAGTAACACAGAATTGTACTTTTGTCAATGTGATAACTAACAGTCCTGCCCTGAGAGTATCCTTACAAGTAAAAGGAGGATGTCTGTAGCCGCGTGTCTATTTGATTCTATTTCCCCTTTACAGTAAAAGGTGTATATGGGTTTGAAACAATGCTGAATCAGGCAAATAAAACAACAATTATCTAAATGATCTATGGTCTATCATTAGAGGGGAAACACCAATTTTACATCAACATCAGTTTACTTGTCATGGTTAACACTTCTCAACCTTGGGAAACATTTGTCTGCGACTGAGAAGGATCTTTGTTAAGTCTCTGAAAATAACCCCTGATGCTGCTATATGGGTTATCTTGTCTTGGAGTTAAGAGAGTCTACACAATTTTAACATCAAGCTTGCATTAAAACTGGGGGCATGGAGTTTGAAAGACATTGACATTTACCAGGCATGGATGATCTAAAGAAAAAAAACATTATTGATATGTGTATGATCCAGTATTTTTGGCCCTTACTAGGTCAACAAGTGAGAATATCTTGGCCTCAGTTGCAGCATTTTTGGGTATTTCCTATTCTAAGCCGTCAAAGTTGGAGTGTCCTCCAACGTTTTGGAAGTGCAATATAAAATCGCTGGAGTACTCTTGTTAAAGGGTGACTGAAACATAAAACAATAAAACAAATACTTTGTCCACTCTGACAGGATTTTGGTTTTGATATTCTTATCAAATTTAAATTTCTTCTAGATCCATCCATAATTTCGGGAGTTATGGTACTGCCACTGGAAAGATTCTCTACATTTCTCAATAAAATAGAATAAGTTTCTTTTATGAAAATGAAGGCCCGTTCCTTGTATGGTCTGTAAAAGCAGCCACTGTAAGACACAACCTATACAAGATTAACAGTCCGTGATAATGTTCGCACAATGTTGGTATGAGCATGTAGAAGTGGACTGGTGTCACTCTCTTGCCGTGGAAAAAGCCCTTAAAAGTTATTAGTATGGGCTATGAAGAACACACAAATGCAGAATGCAACCAGGATGCAAAACTTGACATTTCACAGCAAACTCTAACAGCAATTACTCTTTATCAACTTAGGCACTATGACAAGGGAATCATGATTCTATCACTACTTCTTCATAATATACTTTATCAGAAGGTTTTACTTTTGCTTACATTTCATTCCTACCGCAGCCTCGTGAGACAGAGGGAAAGAGATTGAGAAACAAAATAGATTTATCTGCTCTCCTTCACATCCATGGAGTGACAGTGATATGTGACTCATTCTGTGGAAATATAATTTCCTCTATGTACTGATATTTTATGATATACGGCCTCATTGCGCAGCCCACTCAGAAATATTCAATGAAATTTAAAAAAAGGCACATTATAATTGAAATGACCTTCTCCAAGCTCTCATCAAAGAGGAACACTGAGCTCATGAGTAAAACTGAGAATGAAACACAAAGAGGAATGGGATTCTTTTTATGTTTTCCAGTGACAGCCTGACAAAATCCTGTCTGATAAGGACAAAGACACAAAAAAATAAGTAAAGGATCCCTACAGTAGTAAGCGTTCTCTCAGAATCCTGTTCTCTGGCAGCCAAACGCTTCCTGACTTTCCCCTCTATCCAGTTACAGGTCTCTACTTTATAGAGAAGGCAACTAAACTATGGCTGGAATCAAAACAGCTGAATGAAGCATAGCACCCTTACAAGCCACAATAATAGTCACCTCTGCATGTTGTACTGATGTTCATCCTGGGGCTTATATGTTTAAGTGGTGAGTCTTAGGGATGTCAATGTCTGTCAGTCTGCTTGTCCACCGATTTCGTCCAGACTGAATTATCTAACTACTAACTATCGGATGGATTGTCATGAAATTTGGTTCAGACATTCATGCCCCCCTCAGGATGAACTGTCATCGCTTAACTTCCCCCCAAAATTTAATTTGTCCAATATGATACATATTGCAAAACTAATTTGTTTAGTGCTAATTAGCGTCCTAACATGCTAATCTGAGATGATGAAACTTGGTTAACATTGAAACTCATAGTACTAGACACATTGTGAGCATGTAACGATTATTTTAATGTGGAGTAATGTGCAAATCAATGAATGGTTTTCTTTGTATAATGTCAAAAAACATTCTTGTTTTAATTTCCCAGAGCTCAGAGTTTTCAGTTTTAGCAGTCTAAAACCAAAGACTATTAGTTCACCATCACATTTGATGATGAAAAGCATCACATCCTCACATTCCTCACAGAAGCTAAAAAAAACAGTGACTTTCTGCTTTAAAAAACAATTTAAACAATTAATCAATTACCAAAATAGTTGCTGATTAATTTTTTCTGGATTGCCTATTCCATTAATCTCTTAATCTTTTCAGGTACATCACAAATCACGGGAACTTATGGACAAGGAGTGGTCCTAACATTGGCAAGCAGCTCTTTTTATCCATAAACCGATAAACATAGCTGGTTCTGAATTGGCTGTGGCAGTCGAATAGAAAGGTTTGCCTAATAAATCAAATTATGGAAATTATGGAAGTCTTATGGCTGCACTGAAGATCACGAGTCACTCTCTGCCTCCTTTTCCAAAACCTTTCAAATGATCATCATGACACTAGCTCCACTGAACCATCTGCTACCTTACTGTTTACAGAGGAGTCTTACCATCGTCTGAGATGCTGGTCTGTCAGTGGGATGCTCCTTAGCGCGGCTCCTACAAGCATGAAGAACGCCGAGAGGAGGAGGGATGCCCTCAAACCTGGAAGACACGAGACAGGGGAGAAAAGAGTTATATGATGGCAGATACTGAGAGGATCAACAACCCATATAGTCAAGTTTTCTACCAATCAAAGCAACCAAACCATGGCTAACACTGAGGACTATGTATTCTTGTGTTTGTATGTTTTAATTAATAAGTTACTTAAATGATTACCTCACTACCAAAAATGTTGCTGATGTATTTATTGTTGACTGCCTAATCATTTCAGCACTATTTTCAAAGCACCTACACTCAGTAGCCAGTTTATTAGCTACACCTAGTTATATTAGTTAAATAAGTGTTTCTGTTACTTAGTCTACCATTACTGCAATAAACAAGATGGAAAAATAAGAGAAACACCAACACAACGCAAATACAGTGCAACAGCGCAACAAACTGCAGGCTCCAAAATGAAAGCATTTGTTTTAGCTAGTTGTACTTAATAAACTGGCAAATGGGCATATGTGGCCAATGATAGCACTTAACGTGCACAAAGGAATCCCACAGTTCCTTGTTTAATATTGTCTGGGCTGTGTGACAGCAATAGAACAGACAAAGTTCCTTTCTCTATCAACTTGGAAGTCTCTATTCTCAGTTTCACCCACATGACACCCATTTAAGGAAACTCTCTCCACTTCCCTATTCTTCTTTTTCCATGTGAGTGTTCGTTGGCTGAACCTTTGACTAGATCAATATATAGAGCCAGTCAATCAAGGCTGAGATGCAATTGTACTTTATTGATCCCGGATAGGGAATACAGGTCACAACATGCCAATATAGCCTCATGGTGCATGTTAGCAGTTTGTCAGGTGGTTTCCTTTAGATTTCAAAGCAGAAATGCACTCGGTCATTTGTCTTCATGCCGTGTTCTGCTGCATCAAATATTGACAGATGTAATTCACAGCAACAAGTACTGACAGGGTCATTAAATCCCTCAACAGTGTATTAGTTTTCCGTCAGCTTTTTAAAATAAAGAAACAACTCCTGGGCTTCAATCATAGCTGAATCAGAGAAAGCTTTGTTTCACTGTCAATTTGAAGAGTTGTATGATGATTCTATAATCACTGCTTTTTATAACACCACTATTATAGATAAAAGGGAATTGGTTGTGTTGCTATATTTAGGCTTCACTGTCACAAATGCCTTTGTAGGGTTAGACAATTCTAAAGATTTTTTAGACGCCTTGGATATGCCTCTTTTGAAATGCCCGGGGCAGCAGAGGCCTGAAAAGAGGGGGGGGGGACGACAATGAGTACCGCCTGCACCTCCCTCTTTAACGTATGTTTACGTGCCCTTGGATGATGCACATAACACCCCCAAGCTCCTCCCACACAGAAGACTTTAGTTGTAAGAGGCACTTCTCACGATGAATGAACTCAACATGAAAGTTTAAACAGGTAATTGTCAAAACAGAGGGTTTGTGCTCAGCAAGCCAAACCAGTCCTGAAACAATGAATTCAACTAATCAGGTACTAACAATTTTGGAGATCAATTAATGTGATAATGTTAAAGTCATTTATCAAGCAAATATATTTTATACTGTGATATGTGAGAATTTGCTAAATGTTTCTGTTTTATCACTATAAACTGAATATGTTTGAATTTTGGAGTGTATGTGGAACCAAACTAGTCTACGTCAGCTCGGGGTCTTACTTGTAATGGATGTTTTTCACTGTTTTTGCTATAAAGTAAATTATTAATAACTTCATATCCTAAGCACAAACAATACAGTTCGTTTTCAAACAGAGTCTCTGAAGCATTCTAGCCTTGTTTCTGTTTGTCATTGTATTCTTATCATTCAGTATATTGGATTGTTACAAGTGAGAACAGATATCAGTTAATCAAATTATATCTCTGCAGCATCATGTCATAATAAGGTTGCTGCAGGTATTTTATTGTACTTTTTGTGAGACATGTGGCCTAATATTTTACACAGTACTTACTTTGTATTTAGTGACACACACACACAAAAAAATCTGCAACCTAGCTTGTATTTCGGGGAGAGGCTCTGGAGGCCAGCAGCTTCCAGCAAGACTTTTGAGCCTTATAACCTCACACTTAAAAAGGGTGAATAAGATCTCTCTGGCACTTTCTGACACATCAGCATATGTATGTTATACACTAAGCACATTATGTAGGCTTACTACTCCATGGCTGCATCACAAATGACTTGATCTTAAGGCTCTTAGACTCTCTTGGATGACAACAGGGTCTGAAATTAATTTTTTTTTTCCTCACCTGCCACTGGGGCAGGTTACTGAACATTTCTGCCAGCCACTCAATGTTTTTGTCTGCCACGTCTGAAATGCATTTAGAAAACTTTGTAAACACTGAGTGAGTAGTACCTGACAGTAGAAATTTTGAATATATAACCTTAATCCTTTTATTTATTTTAAAAAAGCCCCATCTGCCATGGTGGCAGGTGACTTGAAATTTTTACCTGTCACAGTCAACATTTATCCTGTACCTGTTACCTGTTAGCAGGTGGCATGTGCCACTTCCATTCCCTGGAGGGCAACTAGTGTGTTGTTGACAACCAACATCCCAGTAGATCACTCCCCTCCCCTAAGGGGGATGTTCTACTGTGTTGTTGACAATCAACAACCAAGCATTTTCTGCACTTGCAAGCTGGAACAGAGCCAGTGAGCGTATGTGGGAGAGAGACTGTGTGTGTATCATGTATGGACAGCAAGTCTCTATATACTGTAGGTTATTAAGGTCACACAAACAAGGTTGATATGTGACTCAGAGGCAGAATTATTAAAACGAACACCTAAACCACTAATTGCTGATGAATCAGGATCACAAGATGAGTTGTGTAATTTCATGGCAAGATTTTGCGTGTGGTCTTTATATCGTCAGCAGCCTGGTTACTGTGATGTTGTTACTGCATTGTTACTGTTTATGTCATCTGACAGCCCAGCCAGGCATGAACTAATGTGTGTCAGTCAGGTGATGCAGAGGAACTGGTTAGGTGAAGTGGGCTCCAACTCAGTAAATCAAGGCAGGAGTTCTTCTGAAGGCAAAGGCACTGTACAAAATGTTCTGTAGTTTCAAAACAAATTTAAACTCTTTTGAAAGAGAGAAGTCTCATCTTCAAGAGAGGTTTGTCCTGCATCACTTTTAACATGGGTCCAACTCTGACAATGGACGGCGGAAACAGTAAAACCCCGACTGATGTTAATTTAAAGTGGTATCAATTGTTTTAACTGACAATATTTTCAACAATCATAGCGACTGTCTTTAAAATGTGTTTAAGAAATTATGATGGCCATTTTTTTTTTTACTGTTTATAGACTTTCTAAAATGAAAATAGACAGATTCAAATAAAATTAAAATAATCATTTGTTGCATTCCTGTCTAAGACTCGTGCATTTTTTAGACCACATTTCTGTATTAGTCAGTTCGGTAGGGGAAATATCAGAATAGTATCAGCTTCTACAAAACGTATACTCAATATAAATGTATATTCATCTCTCTTTGGAGGGTTCAGGTCATTTTCTGTCCATCGTTTAATCGATGAATAGACTAATGTTTCAGCTGTACCCATATGTACTGTTGCGTAGTTTAATGCAATTAAACAAAACATCATAGTTTAAAAGCTCCCTTTGTAAACTAACCACTAACTGAAGCTGTCAGATTATTTAAGTAAAAATTACTATATTTTAGTGTAGTGGAGTAACAGTAAGTAAAAGCACCTCAATTTTTGTACTTAAGTTTTTGAGTAAATGTATTGTAAAATCCACTACTGATAATTGCTATTAAAATATGTGAGCCTTTGTATTATTGGTGGGGGGGGGGGCATTTTTGATCAAAATGCATTAGGTGAACAGGAACAAAATACTTTGCTATATTTTGAGTACAGGTAAATACCTAGATTTCTACTGAAATTACAGAAAAAGGTGGATAACAGAACACTGTGTGATACCGGATATTAGAAAACACCAAACGCTGAATTAACTTATCTTACAGTATGAAGATAAGACTATCAAATGTAGGATGTCGAGTAAAAACACCAAACTTTTCAATGATTTATCCAATAAAGATATCGATGTATCATGTGTTTTTAGGACATAAGTGAATTCTGGTTCATAACATCACTGCATAATGTATAGACTGTACAAAAGTGTGAAACAAACACCATAACGTTAAGATAGGACACAGTGTACCACATTGCAACAGCTCACCTTTTTTATCCATTAACCACATAAATAGCAGCCAGGGAAAGAAACCCACTGGGCCCCACAGCACCAGAACAGCAATGTCCGACTTGGTGAAGCCGTACGAGTGAACGGCCGAGTTCTGGATGGGACCCCAGAAGTTCCACACCATCCCTTGCATAAGTGCCAGCAGAAAACAGGGTCAGAACCAGCCATCTTCTCCCATACACTCTGCTGTTTACTGGCAGATTGTTTGTCTCCGCGTGAGAAGAAGGGACGAGAAGCGGCTCCCTTTCGGCCTCGGTGCTCGAACCGGCACCCATAGTGGCTGTCTGTTTGCCAGTTCAGTTAAAATTCCAATTTTAGCGATTGTACAGCAAGCAAAATTCAAGTCTCGCCGGGATTATGTCGACCACACAATCAAAAACAACCGACAGCTTCAGGCTCTGTCACTTAACTTTACTGCGCATGCCCAAACGGAAATAGTTTGGTAGCAGAAACTGTGCTTACTGGGCTGCCATTTTGGCTCGTCTGGTGCGTTAGCTTGAGTGGGGCTGGTACCCCGACCGCAGAGCCGGAATGGAGTAGATTTACAGTGAGGCGTTCCCGATGTATAAAGAAACAGTACACTGTCATGTGAGGTTTGTTTACTTCCGTCAGGACATCAACTGCACGTGTAGTGAAAGGTGAGTCCCCTGTTTTTGCAAGACAACCCTTTCTTTCCGCGAAACCAACTAACGTTAGCTTTCCTGGGAAAGTGATTTGACACTGAAATCGAAGCCTGCCAGCTAACGTTAACTTAGCTAATAGCATCGTGTAGTTTGCTGAAACAAATGACTTTACGGTGTTGTGCCGAGTTCTGCATGCCAGCGAGAATTGCGTGCACCTCCAAGTAACGTTGCTGTTTAAAACGATATAACGTTAATATTCTTTGTGGGGTTCATCAGTGGTGGTAATGATGATTGAAAGTGTATATTTTATGAACGTTTATCGTTACTTATCGTCATCAATATAATATTACACTCAGAAGTAAGTTTTCAGGAAAAATATGTTCTGATAACGCATTTGATCAGTGTAACGTTACACAGCAACGTTTCTGAAAAGGACCTTAAGAGGAGGATGCATTAGTACTGGTACAGAACTGACTACCAAAAGTGTCACTGTAAAAAAATAAGGGATTATTTTTGGAGGAGAAACCGCAATTATAAAGTTAAAGTTGCTTAATACCAGTAGCTAGCATTAATGTGACGTAACTGCAATGTCTTGTTACTTGTGTGGTGTGTTAATACCATTTTGTGAAGTGTAAATGACCCCATATGGGCATGTACTTTTTGCTCAGATGACTTCTTGGTAATGGATAAATCCAGTCATACCTGACCAGTTCCACCTATGTGATTCTATGTGGTTCTATGAGATGCACTATAGTTTGGTAAGGAAAAACCTGACTAGCATGCACAGAGCCCTGACCTTAACCCCATCCAGCACCTTTGAGATAAACTGGACATAGTAGTGGCTAACCTCACTAATGCTCTTGCCAGTGAATGGGAGCAGATCTCAAGGCTATCGAGAGTAGAGATTGTCATAGGATCAAATGCCCATGGTTTTGGTTAACCTTAAAAACTGACTTCCAGTGACACATTGACTTAGGTACCTCATTCTGTCTGGTAGGTAAATGTCTGTCTGAAGTTGTGATACCTGTTTATGTTGCAGGTTTATGCTATAGTACAAACATCCTTGAAAATTAGGAAGCTTCAGTTTCCTCTTCTTCCCAAATGCTCTCTGGGTTCCTGAGCAGCAGCACTTTTAGTGATGTCACAATTGTGTTTTTTCATGGTTGTTTGTGCAGTGATAGAGCACTGAGGGAGGAACAAATGCAACAGAGATACATAAAAACTTTAGCAAAAAAAATTACACAAATGTTCACCTTTGTGTGACAGAAGATAAGACACGTTGTAGATAGTAGACTCTGGTATATTCTCTGTGACAGACTGGTAATGTAACCTTACAGCTGAATTTACATTTGTTTGTCAGCTAATCTGTATCTACATCCTCTCTGTTGCATCGTTATGTACTATAGGCCATGGCTGCTCCCGACTCCTCTAAACCCTTCAGCCCAGCAGAGACCCAGAGGATTTTGCATCATCTGCAGCAGCCCGCAGTTTTCCTGAACATGACCTGTGGCTGGCCTGTACTCCACTGGACTGCAGAGCACCTGTCTGACTGCCTTGGTGACAAACTCGTCCGATTCCGGCTTGGGAAAAAAAAAGAGGCGCACAGTAAGAGGAAAAGATTAATCCAGACGGATCAGAGTTGAAATAATTCCTGCAAAATTAATCATCTACTGTAGATTGAACATGCCGATTGAAAATGGATTTATGTGACCCAAAATCATCCCAAGTCAGCATTTGCTGTAAATTCGCTTTGAAAACGCACTTTTTGATACAGAGTACATGAAATGTTTCCCCCCAAAAACATTGTTGTTGAGGAGTCAGTGGTTTTCTACCCACTCGACTCTTAAGAGTCTGGCCAAAGCACACTCCTATAGGCAATGCATTTGCCTCATAATTGATCATTCAATATGGTAAATGAATAAGCTTTTCTGTTTTTGTGTTCCTGATCACATCAATGCACATCGACTCATATTGTAGTTCTGTACTTCCACTCAGTGTTCAGTGAGCACATAATTGTCTGCAGTCTTATATAGTTAATCCTCTGACATGTGGTAATTTAAAGATTAGACTGTAGTTTGGCACACCTGATGGAGTATTGGAGACTGTTTTAATGATCTGATTTAAAATGTCACATAAGTGAAGAAGAAAAAAATACATTTTGACAGTGATGACTCCTCTTGTGATGAATAACAGAGAGTGTCCCCTGATAAAAGCAAGCCAATTAGATTTTCAAATCATCTTTTTCAGCTGCAACAGCTTACATGAGGACATTGCTCTCATGTAAGTTGCTATAACTGTTATTTATTTTTCATAAAAACAGATAAAATAAAATTTCATACCCCCATGATGATGCATAGTACTGTGATTCTGGTATACGCATTTATTTCAGCATGGATCAGTTGAATTATTCTATTGAAAGTTTATCACAATTTTCAAATGATTTCTCTCTGTCTTGCACTGTTTCTTGGCATATTCTTCTTCTCTCGTAGCACCACTGTTTGAAACCCAGTGTTCTTATGTGGAGGCCAAACTGGTGCACTTTCTCAGCTGGAACCGGGACCAGGCTGGGACAGATGTAGGGCCTTTCTTTAAATACCCCAAATCAGAGTATTGGGCCTATGCTGACTACAAATACATCGCCATATTGTTTCAAGATCAGCCTTCCATGTTTGAGGTAATCACCATCCTGCATACATGTTAAGATATCAGGTCAGTGTTATAATGCTTCTTGGTTTTACAGGCTTTGTGTTAGTTATCACCTCAGATTTTTGAATGACATTGCAACTACAAGGCTTTTTTAAAAATCACACAACCTTTTCTAGGCAGTGTGGTAAAGGAAAATTACAGCAGGCTTGCATGAGGTGTTAATGGGCACCAGACAGATCCTGGTCAAGCCAACCTTTTTTCCAACCTACCAGTCATTGTATTGTGTTTAAGTTATTCTGTCAGCATCAAGAGCCAGTTACAAGATGAAAGCTTGTGAAACACAAAGATGGGACCTGTGATGATATGACAATCTAAATCTATTCCTGGCTTTATGAATATATTAAAATGATAAATGACAATAAAATAGTATATTTTTGGAATATTGGACACCTGAACATTACATTCGAATGGGCTCCAATTTGGCCAGAAGAGCATTAGTTCCAGTTCATCCCAAAGATGTGAGGTGGGGTTGAGGTGGGGTTCTGTGCAGGCCAGTTAAGGTCCTAATAAACTGGGAAAACCATTTCTTAATGGACCCTGCTTTGAAAACAGGAAAGAGCCTTCCACACAGTTGGAAGAATGCTATTGTAAATTACTGTACGCTGTAGTTTTAATATTTAACTTTAAAAAAACAAGTCTACATTTTACAACCTTGTTTCCAAAAAAGTTGGCACATTGTGTAAAATGTAAATAGAAACAAAATGTGGTGATGTGCAAAATATTGAAACCCCACATTTAATTGAAAATATCACAGTGAACACTTAATCAAATATTGAAATTTTATTGTTCTTGAAGCCTTGATTATATGCCCATTTTGAATTTGATGCCAGCAAGACATTTCAAAAAAGTTGGGACAGTGGCAAGAAAAGACTGGAAAAGTTGTGAAATGTAATAAGAAAGCTTCTGGTGGAACATCTCACAATTAACTAGTTTTGAAGTGGACGTCACTGCAAGGGCTAAGGAACACTTCCAAAAACCATTGTTTGTGAACAATCGCAGTTTGTCGCTGCGTCCATAAATGCAAGTTGAACCTCTACCATGCAAAGAGGAAACCCGGTACAAACCAGGTCCACAAACACCACCACCTTCTGTGGGCCTAAGCTCATTTAAGATGGACTGAGGCAAAGTGGAAAACTATCCTATCCATTGAAAATGTTTGGCACATTATAAAACAAAAAATACGACAATGAGACCCTTACCTGTTGAGCTGCTGAAATCCTTCATCAGGCAAGAATGGGAAAACATCCCACTTTCAAGATTTCAGCAGTTGGTCTCCTCAGTTCCCAGATGCTTACAGAGTGGTAAGAAGAGGTGATGCAACAGAGTGGTAAACATGACACTGTCCCAATTATCTTTCGAGCTGTGTTGCTGGCATCATATTCAAAATGGGCGTAACATTCTCCCAAAACAATAACCTTTTCAGTTTTGGTTTACATTTGATGAGTAGCTTTTTTTGGAAACAGGGTTGTAAATTGACTGACCAAATGTCAGTGTCTGGTGCAAAGATGTGTAAGTAACAAGACCAAGAGAACATCACTGATCTGCTCTTGAGTAGTTTAATGTATTCAAGTGAGAGCATATTGAGGATATGCTCAAATTAAAACAGATGAAAGCGAAGCTAGGGTCAATTTAAAAGCCTGTTTGTAATAGTGTTTTCATTATATAAATATTTCCATGTATGTCAGCATGTTTATTGTTACTGTACTGTACTCTGTACTGTGTAGAATTCACATACACAGACACATTCACATTCTTCCGCTGCAGTGGGTCTGTATCACATAGGTGGAGCTGGTCATGTATGACTTAAACATGACCCAGAATTATGACACAACCACATACACATACTTTGTCTAAGCAAAGTCAAGAATGTTATGAACACCAAATTTTCTTTAAGATGATAATAAACACATTTAGAAGCTATTTTAAAAAAAAATGTTATTCACATGCTACATTTTTAATGTAGTTGCAAGGGCTTTGGCATAAACATTAAATAAAAAATTGAAAGAGCCAATATATTCCCGTCTAGTCTGATTTTCTAGCATTTTTCCCGCCGTTGTTTTGACATTTTCAATTAAAATGTTAAGCTTTTGCCCATAACGACTTTTTATTAGCTGCTATTCTTGTCCTTCGGTAGGTAAAGACATAAAAGTGCCATCGTTTCTCAAGCCACTGTCACCAATTCATTTCATTTTTATCTCGGTGATACATTTTTATTGGGCATCCACCTGCAATTATTACCCGCTGACATTCATGCCTTTGAGACAGGCAGAGATGGGCTTTTTACAGGATAAATGGTGCCAGGGAAAAAGCTGCCTGAAGGCTAGATTGTCCAGTCAGTCATTTACAGCTGCCTGCATACAGTATATGGTAATGACTTCATTATTCTGGATGCTGCCGTGATTGCTACACTTTTGTGCGTTGGCATGACATGATTGACAGACCAGTTTTCCTTGAAAGATGACAAATACTATAGCCTGGTTTCTCTATACACAGACCTCCATTGGTCACCTATAATGGGTCCTGTCAAAGCAGCTGATGAGGTGGGGGTCTTCATGTCTTATTATTGTCATTTGAATGTGTGTGTGGGTGTGTGTAAATGTGTTGCAGCATGTAAAGTGGTCCGAGTTTGGTTTTGAGGGACGTAATGGGAGAGAGAGCACCTTATGGATTGGCTCAGAGGGGGCCAACACACCATGCCACCTGGACTCTTATGGCTATAACCTGGTACTGCAGGTACATGGACGGTAAGGACCATAGCATGCGTTTGCTGCTTTATACGCACCAAAGTAACGCAACTGTAAGTCGGTAATCCGATTTCTAAAACATTTGTTTACATTTTCTTTATCAGTTTAAGGAAACACGGGTAGATTTCTGCTAGACAAACGTGCTTATATGTCCAACTATACAGGACAAGAAAAGAAAGTGAAAGTAAATATCTCTACTTTTAAGTGTGTAGTTTGCTATAATGTAAAATATTCTTTAAAAACGCTCCCTAATTTACATATAACATTTGGCCTATGTGATTGTGATAACAAAATTAATGTAAACCTACGTGGATGTTTTTTAAATACTGCTTTGGCAAGTACTATTTCCTATTTATCATACTACATCTCACTATACTTACATTTCTCTCTCCTCATCTTTCCGATAAATGTGATACTACTCTGGGGAGTCTTGTGTTGATAACCCTGAGATTAGACATAGCCTGTCTGTAATTCCTGTTTTTATGCTACAAATACTTTTTTGTTTACTTTTTAAAGTGGACGTATAGATTTGATTTTCTTTCTCTGCTTCTGCTCAGTGGTTATTTTAACTGATAAATGTTGTCACATTTTTGTGTTATCCAAAAATAAGACCCACAGCTTAACAGTTGGATATTTGAGTGAAGTCAGTAATGGACCAATCTGAGAATTAACTTTGAATATGTTTCCATTCTGATATTGAATATGGCATCACTTGTGTCCCTGCCTCATAGATTTGTGAGTATTATTTTAAGTCACAAGAAAGGATTTCATTTAAAGGGTGCAAAACTAAGGCATAAATAGTAGTTAGTAGTAACCTTGGAACTTGTAATATGTTAGTTTTGTGCTCTGTTTCAGAAATTTAGAAATATGAAAGAATGTGAGAGAGACTCTGACCATCTGCATGTAAACTAGTCTAACAGCATTCAGGCAGTGTAGAGCATTTAAGCCGGTTAACTGATTTCTTGCCGTGACCTAATTTCTAACAGTAATCTCTATTAATCCAAATTTTTATATATAGATTTCAATTTGGACAACAGAAAGTATAACGAGAGATGATAAAACAAGTGACATTGCCCTCATACCGATGATAGTAGGCATTTAATAGAGAGGAGTAACTGGGCATAAAGAAGGTTCAAGGTAGATTTATGAATCATTAATCATTTCACAACACAGGGTTGTGTAACAACATGGAGTTGTAGGTTCCTTTATGCTACTCACAAAAAGCAAATGTTACAAAGATAATATAATCACAAGTCGGGTGGATACATAACAAGTCATAAAAATAAAACTGTTTTACATGGTGCAGTGCTCACAATGAATTGTAGAGTTTCGCAGCTTGAGGGAAGAAGCCGCTCTGAAGTCTGGTTGGGTCGGGTTTTTCTGTTTTATTCCATACAGCGCAGCCTGGTAAACACCTAGCTCCTCCGCAACACAAAAGGTGCACGGTACTGTAACTCCTTACAGAGTGTGATCTGTCCTCTGCCCTCTGAAAGACAGTTAATTTGTCGCAGAGCTCGCCAGAGCAGGAGGGAAATGGAGCCAGAGGGCGAGGCGCTATATGGGGCAATGTGAGAGAAGAAAGAAAAGGGAAATGGTCTTTTTGTATCTTATCTGACACCCCTGTTCTCCCCGAGAGCAGCAGTTTTATCTCAGTCCTTGTAATTGGGTCTCAGGCTGTTTTTATTTGGTATTGATCCCAAATGGAATGAAATTCACCTCAAGCTGTTCTTTGACACTGCTCATCCACTGCTGAGTGATATGATGACATTTGTGACAATAGTGGGTCAGATGAACAGAAAACAAAAATGGCAGAGTTTCTAAACAACAACCACATTATTCAGGGAAGGCAGTTTGAGTTTCAGGTTAGGTTAGAGAAAACTGAATTATTTTACATTGATGGATTTGCTATTGGCCCCCATCCGTTTTTATGATCTTGCAGAATAAAAAGTATTTGGAATTTTGAATCCCCTTTGTAAAAGATTACTGCTTTTGAAACGTCATACCTTGGAAAAAAAACATGCAGTTTTTGTTTTAATTGATTTTATTGAAACTGGAACAATTACTTCCTAGGCTGTATTTTGGGTCCATTCTGGGTTGATCAGTTGAATTTATTTTTTGTGAAGTTTTGTTTACAGTTATGGAAAGCCTGAAAGTATGGCTAACTAGATCATTAACGCACAACACTGTGCCCGACCAAGCAGCCGAATTAATTTCTAATAAAAATATTTTGCCTCTCTTTTAGTCTGAAGTCATATATAACTGTAATGTTCCTGTGCGTAGGAAGCGCTGGCACCTCTTTCCTCCAGAGGACACCGTTAACCTCTACCCAACCAGGATCCCTTATGAGGAGTCCAGTGTCTTCAGCCAGGTAGATGTTCTCAATCCAGACTTGAGGAGGTTCCCTGCATTTCAGGAAGCCAGGGCACATACGGTCACTCTGCAGCCAGGACAGGTCAGGATTCTCGACACAGTGTTTTACAATACAAAAATGTAATGTATCCCAGAAACAGTCCTCCTAAAATGTGCCCATTGTTTGGTCTACATTCATTGAATGCCAGAGGGTGGAATTAAATTAAGACTGTACTGTGCTGCCGGAAAGTCTACAAATGCTGATTTTCTTGAAAACACATGACCATGTCCTTGGCCAGAAATATAAAATAATTTTCTCTCAAGAATTTTAATTTCATTTTATGACCAGTGAGTGTATTAGGAGGAGTTGGTCAGACAAAACTGTTTTCTGACATTTTAAAGACTAAACCACTGGTTCCTGAACTTTTTCAGCTCAAGACCCAAGAGAGAAATCTGGTGTGTCCCTGGGCCCCAATTTACAAATATACATGCACATTTACAAAGTATGGATAAAAGGCTAAACAAACCATGTATATAAAACGTCTGTTCTTCTTTCTGTGTGTCACCCCTTTCTCTACTATCATTTTCTCATCCCTTCCAATCATCACCAACATGTCTTTAGACATGACCTGAATTTAATGAGAAGTATGTGGCTGGGTGAAGTTTTGAAACAGTTGATCTTTACTCTGGGTTTTTGAAAGTGCTAAGGTCATACTGAGCATTTAGTCTTTCTGAATTGGTTATTCAGGTATGCTAGAGTGGGAAAGCCAGCTTCACACAAGTATGTTGTGCCATATTGAATCAAAACATCTTGAAGGATTCTTCTTTGCAAAGAAAAATGTCTTTCCCAGATACAGCAAATGTTTTGTTTGGAGATACCTGTCCAATTTATTGATTCTTTTTTTTTTTTTAATACCCTCATTACTGAGCATTTGCCCACATATTACACATCGAAGCTTCTCCTCTCCATTCTGAATTGCTTTGGTGAAGCCAACATTAATAAACTGGCACTAATATCATAGGATTGACAGTAACGGATTACAGACTACAGACATAAAAATTCCGTATGATTGTGGACAGAAGATCAGGTTAGGAAGAAAAGAGCGAGAAAAGTGTAGTGTAGCAAAAAAGATCATTCATTCACATATTTACATTTTGTAACAGTGTTAATTAGCAAGCCAGTAAAAATGGGACTGCGACCCATTTTGGGTTCCGACCCTAAATTTGGGAAACATGGGACTAAACAATTAATTCCCAAAATAACCAGCAAATTAATCAATAATGAAAATATTTTTAGTTGCTGTCGTTAAAGAAGACTATTATAAAAGCCTAAGCAATTGTCAGATTTGTAGAAGATTTTGTAGCTGTATTGAACTGTGAGCTGTGTATCATGTATCATACCAAATAGTGAGCTGACTGTACAGTAAGGAAAAACATTTTACATTAAACTAAGCACATCAAAACCATTTTTTTTCATCACTTTTAACTCTGTTGTGTTTTTTAGACATTGAAAAACCACCGTAGGTGATTGATTATAACTGACACAGAAGAAGTTGTTCCATTAAATCTTGGTTTATTGATCCTTAAGCTCTGAACATGTAAAAGAAGACTCAACACTGAGATTTATTTGTCGTGGTGTCCTCCACAGATGTGTGAAGAAAGGCGACATTCATGACTTGTGTGATCTTCTCAGTTACAGTGTATTGTCTTCAGCAGACTGAAGCATTTATTCTGAAGTGGAAGATTAAGCTATATCAAAGTCATCGGCGTCACTGCTCTTGATGTCTTATCAGGAGAGGAAAAAAAACAGGGTCAAGTCTAGGCCAGTAGATCAAATGTTCCAATGACCTGCTCTGCTTTAGAAGCAGGTGAGTTCAGAGTGAGTATAGTTATGATTGAGGTGTTGTGCATTCAGAAGATGTAAATTTCAGACATGTCCTCTTTTGATGTAGTTTTCAATCCTGCAAAAGTCTTCCTGGATTTATTTGTCCTGCTTTGCCTCGTTTTAGATTCCGGCTGCATTGTTTTATTCTTCAAGAGTCAAAATGGTGACAAAGCAATTAGCCATCTGTCTCTTTTCACCATCTGCTTGTGCCTGAGCTCCTGTAGCGCACTAAATGCTCTCCTATCAGCAGCACAAAACCCAGCTGTCGAGTAACTCTGAAGGCTGGTGAAGAAATGTCCAGGTCAAGGTCACTGTTGATTCATCAGCAGATCATTTCTGCTTATTTTACCTCATATTAAATGCTGATGGTTATACAGATGATAAGACAAAAGGCTTGAAAAACCCTATCTTCTGTTTCTCCAGTATCACCATCTTATTACCACAGTTCCATCAAGGTAGTTTTGGTGTAAATAAGACCTGGCTTGTCCGTGTGGATCCTTGAAATGACTTTGAGCTTTGGGAACTGAGCATGGTAGAAAAAAAGCACATGAAGCTTTCAACAGCAGTCTTTGTTTAGTAAATGGAATTGGTTCAGGTGTTATCGCGTTACTTTAATCTGGTCTTTTAGTCACACAGTAACAAGTGGTTAAATATGGGAAACCGTTTGTGACCCGTCTTGGTTCAATGCTGGCCTTTGGAGTTAGATGTCAGTGGCCTCCTTTATTCTTCTAGGGCTGTCCGCAATCTCCAAATCAATTAACTGTTCCAGTCGTGGCTGCCTTTGGCCTGGCATTTACATACTGCTGAAAGTGAACCTTTGTGCTTGGATTATTTTTTACCATAAATCTGGAAATATAGCTGTTGACACAGAATGGATAGTTTTCATATCTATAGTAATCTCCTACAGGATGGCTCTACCTCTGCAAATCAAATCAAATCAAAGAACAAATCGTTGATCTTGTCTTGTCAGACCACAGGTGAATCAGGACTGCTGAGAAGGCAGATGATCAATAAGGCTAGTCCATTTTAAAATAGTCACTTTATGAATGGGTGAGCCACTGAGAGTCTGTGGGGGAAAGGGTTATTCTGCCATCTAGTGGAACATTAATCACAAAGGCTTAACGACAAAAAGGAAGGGAGTGGGTGATGTCAGGAAAATGTTTATCCATTTAAGCTTCTGAGGTCTTTTAATCTTTTCTGCTCAGGTGCTTTATGTCCCCAGACACTGGTGGCACTATGTGGAGTCAGTGGATCCCATCACTGTCAGCGTCAACTCCTGGATCGAGTTGGTAAGCAACCCGATTATGTCTCGCCCTCACCCTGAACTATTTGGCTCAGAACCTGAAATAATGACGATGTTCCATGAGTTTCAGAGAAAGTTTGAAAAACAAATTTGCCCTGAAGAGTTCCTGCTCAGCGTTTAGTGCTCCCAGATGAAGGCCCCTCTCAGCTTTGAGTAATGAACAGGTCTGGCAGTAAAAGATTCCCTGTCATTATGATGAGTGTGAGCGCACAACGAGATGTGTGTGCCGCATGAAAAGTTCTCCACTGCCAGACAAATGTGTATTCAAAGAGCAGGTCCCTCCCCAGTTTTCCCTTCAAGGTCACAGACACAACAATCTGTGCCTCCAGCATACCTGTAATTATCTTGATATGCAGTACTCGTTCTTATTTTGCTTGGCTTTCTTTCCTACACAGGAAGTGGATGACGTGGCAAGAGTCAGTGAAGCTGTGACCAAGGCTGTTGTCAGTGCGCTTAAAAGTGCACCAAGTGATGACAACACTGATGACTGGCTCAACCCCACCGAGGTAGCAAATTAATACTGTGATATTAATTACGCCCTAAAAATCAGTAGCTCTCTGATTACTACCTCTTGCTTGTATTGGTGCAGCCACAAAAAATATATATATTTACAGTGTTGTTTCTTTTTAACACTAACTACTTCTCACTATACAAGGAGGACTGTATGGTAAAATCAGAAAACTCGTTACTCATTTCAATCCTTTCATCTGGTAGTGGCCTAAATTAGGCCTGAGATTTTCAGTTTAATCGTATCTTGATGATATGATTGTAATGTTTTCTTCTTCATCATGATAATAAATGATAATAAAGTGTTTTTAAAAATTCTAGACACACCATAGAATGTGCCATCTGGGTGTAATCCCGCTAAACACTTCATCTTGCAAAGTCAGAACCTCTGTCTCAGTAAGCTCATTAATTGCCTCGTTTAATTTGTTGTGAATTTAAAGTAAAGTTGTGAACTTTTGTTATTTTGGTCGGGTACAAGAAATCCTCCATTGTGCAATTTTTTAGGTGTAACGTATAACTGAATTTTGTGCTTGGAACTTATCCGGATCTCCAGAAGCCTGATGAGACTCTGGTCTGCCTATGCTAATGATGATATGATGACTAACCACTGTACCTCCCGCACATTCTTCTTTCTCTGTGTATCAGTTGGCAAAGCCAGGCTGCTTCTACCACTGATAAGGTATATTTATCCCACCTACAGGAGGTAATTTACTGTGTAGTCACAGTATGAGCAGCAGTACAGAAACACAGATGTTGTGGTGAGATTAAAGCTGCTGGGATGCTTCAGCTTGAAATTTAGAAGAATAATGCCAGTCCCTCACTGTAGGGCCTGTTCAGTGTATATTATCTCGGCATTTGAGCATATAAACAGACATTAATAAAAAGCTAAGTACAGAGTCCTGTGTGTAGTAGGTTTTTGTTTGTAAGAAAAAAAACTGGTTCAGTCTATGTGTTTCTTTTACCCCATTCACTTCATTGTATTAGCACTTTAAAGTATTGTCTGCAGTGTCTTGTTTTGAAACTACTACTCCCCATTAAAGTATTAGTTATGAGATTATTCTTTTGCTTTTCTTTACCACTGGAGTGCTGCGTTTTCCTGAATTTCTTTTTGGGGAAACAAACATGACGCAACCTAACGCTACCAACTAAGATAAGAGGCTTTAACATTTTTATGAAAGGCCCAAAGTTGGATTGAAACCTCAAACTCAAACAATGCCTTGCACGGTCAACGTCACCTTCATCATTGTTGAGTCAGCAGCCTCTTTAGACTTGCTCCCCACAACTACAAATTTGTATTGAATGTATTGTGTTTAGGAATAAAAATAGCCTTCCACACACGTGACGAGGCTGCTTCTGAGCTGGCAGCTATTGTTTGGGGAGCTCTCTGAAAAACTTTGTTTGTGTCATGTTTCTACAGGAAGGAGTAGCATCCCATAATGACAACATGCAGTATGTGAACATGGCAGTGAGAGCTTCTGCTCAAAGACAGCAGGGCCTCTGCCACAGCAAACTGACCCAGGACCCAAGAGACACCCGACCAGTCAAGCGGGACTCCAGAGGACAAATCAGGACAAACAGCGATTTGGTCAGGGATTCTGCGCTCTTCAGCGTTCCCTTTGGACCACATCTCATCCCTGTGTGCTGTCAGCAAGAGTACTCGCCAGAAACGAGGGGGGTGACCACTAAAGATCTGGAGGTCAAATCTTCCAGGAACTGTAATGCCCAAACTCCAGATGACTGCACCGCCAACTCAGATGCGGCAACGAAAACCAAGCTTGCATCTGCTGTCAACCAGGGAAAATGTGAATGTAGCCCTGGTTTAACTCAATATAGACCATGTGACCATGCTGATGTGGCGTCAGAGAAGTCTTCAGAGGATTATGAGGAACCAGTACATACAACAATAACCACTAATGACCTGTTAGACTGCCTGGTGCATCCTGATATCATCGACCGGGTCACAAAGCTTTTACTGGAAAGGCACACAGGAGGTGAGAGGACCACTATGCCATCCTAGCTTTAATATCTGCCAGCGGTAAACAACATAATACAAGCCTGAAGAGGAAGAAAAGCTCCTCATTGCGCTGGTAATGGTCCGAGCTTCAGGAGCGATTTAGAACGCTTTATCTGAAAATATCAGGATATGGTTGTCTTTGCTTTTCAACTCAGGGTGTCTCACTGGAGTTTACAGCTATGAAAAAAAGGCAGGAGATCTTTGGCTGCAGAAATCCGTCCTCCAAGCTACTGGTAATCCTTTGGTGTCAGTAAGAAGTGAGGGAGGAAAGATGAAGATCAACAAAAGACGTTCACCCTGCTTTTCTTTCTCCTCTCATCTTTCAAGGTCCTCCTGAGATTAACCCCGGATGTGGGAAGTCACAACCACAACTAATCATAATGTGATGAGTGACGCCATTAAGTGGCTTTAACATTTCCTTGTTTTTGTTGTCCTGCACATACTAATCCTGTTTGGATCTTCCAGAGTAAGCAAAATGACCACCTAAATCAATTTAGTATGCTAATAAGCCACATAATTCAAGGTAATATTCCTGCAATGTGAACATTTGTTTTCTGCGTAATGTTTGCCTGTCATTTACTAATGAAAATTGCCACAGAACAACCAGAAGGCTGATCGTAATGGTTTAATGATTGATTGAAGCTGTTAAGGAGCACTCAATGACATGGGTCTGTTTGAATACAGTCTGCCGCCGCAGGTCTCACAGCTGCGGGAGAAAGGAAGGTTGCACATGTATAAGAATAATAAATGTAAACTGTCTACTAACATTTTTTTTTACTAAATTGCATTCTAGAGAGTGAACGTAGATATTCATTGTTTTAAAATGATTTTACAATTTCAACATTTTAGTACAAAATTATTTTCTTATTAAAATTGATAGCAATGCACATTTTCATCTTCTTCAAAATTGACAGCTCAAAAATAAATGGCACAAAAACAACTGTTTACAGTTTATAGGGAGCAGCATTTACACATTCCCTGACTACAAAATAAATTAAAGTATTTTATGAAGTTAAAGGACCACACTGTTGGTGTTGCATGTTTTAGCACATAAACTACAGATCTGACTATTTCTTGATTGTTGTGTGGTAATGCAAGTAGGATTTCCTTGATGATGTGGCATTGATCAGCTTTGCTTTTTGTGGAAAATCAAACCCAGAAGATGGACAATAAGAAAACTTCAGGAAAAGAAAATTCATTTGGTTTCCTACACAGAAATATCAACGTCTGCTCCTAAATGTCATCAAGCTGAGTTTTTAGACCGATCAATAATAAGGCAGCTCACAAAAAATAAAGGCTACAAATGTTTCATTGTGTTGTATTAAACTTAAACATTTGCAATGCTTTAAAAATGGGTTAATTGTACTGTTCTCTACTGAATTTTAAATGAATGACCTATAAGATACAAAACCACCAATAACCATGGTCCTTTAATATCATTGGTAAAGGCAAACCATGTAAACAATTTCTTCAATGTGTTCTGTCAAAACCAGTACAGGTTACGGTTATTATGTAGCATCATAGAAAATATTACATTGATATGGACTTAATATCAATGTAATATTTATGCAACAAATATATACAGCATATAATGGTCGACATTCATTTATAATAAGAGTGTTGATCGTGGTGTGGTATATCACAGTATTCAGCATCTTTTAAACACGATCATGTATTCAGTCAGGTTAAAAATGTTGAATTGACTGGGGTGTTAAGAAACATTTCAAACACTATATTGAATGATGTGACAAACAAATCCTGTACTTCTAACCAGAAGATCCATTGATCACTTCACACTGCTTCATTATCACAAAAGTACCATAACCCTTTTAATGTTCTGCTCGAACGGTTTGGTAGAGCACATTTTGAGTCACTCTGTTGTAATGAAAAACGCTTTAGGTATGTTATGCTAAAATCTGTCTTTAAATAGTATGCCTTTTTGGTAAGCCTCCTTATTAGAAGTTAGTAACAAAAAAGTCACTCCAGACATGAGAAAAATTGGGCATATTTTTTCAACATGATTTTTGAGGCCTTGTGTAGTAAGGGTCAACTCATTTGTTAAAAACATGCTCTATCAAACAGGTTGATTTTCATTTAAGGTAAAGGTAGTGAAGCTAAATCAACAAAGAAAAGAAAAAACAAAATGTCTGTCTCATTCATTGTTGTTAATATGATATGTTATTCCATTATATACACGTTGAAATAAGTTCACAAGTATGATCTTTTACTGTCTAAAATCATGCTCAACCACACAGTTCAATTGTCGTAGTGGTAAAGAAAGTGATGCTAACATATTAGCAATTTACAATATTTAATGTTTCATTATATATTTGATTTAGTTAAGTAAATATGTGGAAATACTACTAATGTTAGTAATACTACCAGTATTACTAACATTAGAACATTACCTGGTTTGTAATTAAGATTTTCTTTTCTGTTTTAGAATAGAAAACATTTTACAGTTCAAGGCCATGTACTTTTCTAGCCCTTAGTCCAGAAAATCCTCAAGACTCTGATCCTAATCTGAGTAATGAGGAAATAGAGGATCCTGATTATTTAGACTGTTAATATTTTGATGGTGTAAAGTGGTGCAGTTACAAATTGGTGCTCTTTCCCGTTTGGTTCAGTTGTATGTCATCAGTTTTTTTCTTCTTGTCGCCATGGTCGTAATCTTCCTCCTTCTGGGCATCCTCCGGGTAAATCTTGTCCAGCTGATCAGGGTCAACGTACGTGTAGAAGTAGGCCATGATAGAAAAGATGACGCAGACGCCCAACAGCAGGCAGGCAAACAGCAGGAACTCAATCCACTAGGACAAGAAAATGACAGCTAGTGTATTAACTGTACTGAATAGAGAAGCATTTAGTTCCTTGTCGAGGTTTGCTGCACTCTTGAGAAGCAAAATAAAATTCTTGTAACATTTTATGATAAAAGGATTAGAAAGTTAGTTGGATGTGTTTTGTGTGAGACCGTAATAAAAAGGTGTTTTATAGGCCAAATTTAAACTTGATAAAGTGATTATAAGCAATACAGAGATTAAAAAGTTAGAACAGCATCATCAAGGAAAAAAACAAAAAACTACGATGGAGGAGATTGGAATTTCATTTGTGGTGCTCACAGCACTGAAGAATGACATGTAGGAAATTATATAACTACTGGCGCTATTTACAGAGTAACCAGAATGCACAGTGCACGATCTGGAAAAACACATTATTACTTTTATAAATGCAGTCTTTCAATGCTGTGAAGGCCCACAATGAAGTTTACCTTTTTTGAGGTAACAGCAGAAAAAGATAACCAAGGCAAATAACAAATCTATCTTCATTGCCGGATACCACAAGAGAGAAGTGAGAAAATACTTAGGGGAAGCGACCCTTTAAAAGAGCTTACTGTTACACATACAGTATCTCACAAATGTGAGTTCACCCCTCACATTTGTGTAAATATTTGATTATCTCTTTTCATGTAACAACCTTTTTATATACAGTCTATGGTAACTGAAGAAAAGACAGTTTGCTACAATGTAAAGTAGTGAGTGTACAGCTTATTTAACAGTGTAAATTTGCTGTCCCCTCAAAATAACACATCACACAGCAATTAATGTCTAAACCGCTGGCAACAAAAGTGAGTACACCCCTAAGTGAAAATGTCCAAATTGGGCCCAAAGTGTCAATATTTTTTTTGGGTCACCATTATTTTCCAGCACTGTGTTAACCCTCTTGGGCTTCACAGGTTGCCACTGTAGTCCTCTTACGCTCCTCCATGACGACATCATGGAGCTGGTAGATGTTAGAGACCTTGCGCTCCTCCACCTTACGTTTGAGGATGCCCCTACAGATGTTCAATAGGGTAAGGTCTGGAGACATGCTTGGCCAGTCCATCACCTTTACCCTCAGCTTCTTTAGCAAGGCAGCGGTCGTCTTGGAGGTGTGTTTGGGGCCGTTATCATGTTGGAATACTGCCCTGCGGCCCAGTCAGTCGATTTGTACTCCTCACCTGGTTGCCGCCACACAAGCTTGACACCATCTGAACCAAATAAGTTTATCTTGGTCTCATCAGACCACAGCACATGGTTCCAGTAATCCATGTCCTTAGCAAACTGTGTGCAGGCTTTCTTGTACATCATCTTTAGTAGAGGTTTCCTTCTGGGACAACAGCCATGCAGACCAATTTGATGCAGTGCCCCTCTGCAGCAATGCTCATACGTCTATTACAAAGAAAACCTCTGGATATGACGCTGAGCATGTGTACTCAACTTCTTTGGTCGACCATGACAAGTCCTGTTCTGAGTGGAACGTGTCCTGCTGTATGGTCTTGGCCACAGTGCTGCAGCTCAGTTTCAGGGTCTTGGAAATCTTCTTATAGCCTAGGCCATCTTTATGTAGAGCAACAATTCTTTGTTTCAGATCCTCAGAGAGTTCTTTGCCATGAGGTGCCATGTTGAACTTCCAGTTACCAGTATGTGTGAGAGCGATAACCCCACATTTAACACACCTGCTCCCCATTCACACCTGAGACCTTGTAACACTAATGAGTCACATGACACCAGGGAGGAAAAATGGCTAATTAGACCCAATTTATACATTTTCACTTCACTTTCACATTTGTTGTCATTTTGAGGGGACAGCAAATTTACATTGTTATACAAGCTGTACACTCACTACTTTATATTGTAGCAAAGTGTCATTTCTTCAGTGTTGTCACATGAAAAGAAATAATTTTTTTTAAATGTGAGGGGTGTACTCATTTTTGTGGGATACTGTATGTGCTCATGACATTAAGATATATTTCAGCCTTAAAACTATTCCATAGAAAAGGTGGTCAACTATGGTTTTGGTATGTATATCCTCCTGACTTATATTGTTAAAGAAATTTCAATGTCTCCCACAATGTCCCACGACATCGTACCTGTTCCAGTCCTGCACCCTCTGCCACAATAAGCACTATCACATTCCCAAATGCGACAGTGAGCAGCCAGCCGGCCTGCAGGACTGACTTCATGGTGACTGGAGCCTGACGGGAAGAGAGATGTCCACAGGTATTGAAGAAAAGAGTCACTGGGCTCATATACATATTTAAAAGTTGCATGTACTGGGATCATTACTGCCTAATCCTAGAAAATGTTGGGAGCTGGACATCAGACAATCTTAAGGGTAAACCAGTGGGCTAAAAATTTATGGAGAGAAAGTTTAAACATACATTTAATTTAAGAGAACAAGTAAAAAGGCAGAATTGTTAAAACATTTTGTCATCATTTATTGGTTGGACACCCACTTATGGAGCCTAAAGTCACTACCGAAGATGTATTGATTTCCAAGAAGTAGCCGTTTTAACTACCGAGTTTATCGGATCTTTCAAGGACAGCCTCTCCAAAAGCCTATGTTTTCACTATCAATCACTTAATCCTTATAGGTTTGAATGGTGGCTCTTAAAAGACATCTTGCAACTGCAGTCAGCTTAGATTTATGGCAGTAATAGGGGATTCATATGTCAACCAAGTGAGAAGGTGAGAAGAAAGTATCAAAATGCCAATAGAGCTTTTCAAACTACTCCAGCAGCATAATGCTCTTTTTCATTGCCAACTGTATGCTCAACATGTTCCAAACACTGCTGCTAAAATCTTCAAATTTCTTTCTTCTTATTTTTTCGCATTACTAAGAAGACTGCCTTTCATGTGGTGAATTTGTGTTTCCTGGATCAAGAAATCCATCCTTTCGGTTTACACTAATAATCCTCATGAATCCAAGCTGACAGTAACTGCTGTCATCCTTGAAGAAGGAAGCTGCAAATGTTTTCCTTTAGACCTACATGTGGTGATACTAAAAACAAAGGTGAAGTATTAACAATATAAAGAATACAGAGTAATTACCTAATTGATACTTAGTGTGTGTCGTGACAAACCTGTGAGTAGGAGAACTCCAGGCCTGTGATGGAGAACATGACCTCTCCTACAGTTAGGAAGACGTACTGGGGGATCTGCCAGGCAATGTGCACGTTGTTGGCTTTTACGTCCTCCATCTTGTGGGGCACAATTTTACCTGATTCCTGACAAAACACACAGAGGGGGTTCTTTTATGTTGTATAACTGGTGAGATCTGTATATAAACTTGTATGGCAAGCATCCTTCACCTCCACGAGTATGAAAGTGTAGGAAGCTCCAAAGTCCAGCAGGCCCAGGTCAAGATTAGAGCACTTCTCTGACTGTGAGCTGCAGCTGACATCTCGGTATCTACCCAAAGGCAGGAGGTACATGAAGGATGAGATGAATGAGAGACCGACAGACACAATGAATTGTGGCAATGGGGCAATGGATAATAATATGGCTTTGGTGTGAGAGAGTCGGGTTCAATTCCCCACTGTGACACTTCCACCAATGTATCCCTGAGCAAGACACTTAACCCCTAGTTGCTCCAGAGGCATGCGACCTCTGACAGGTATAGCAATTGTAAGTTGCTTTGGATAAAAGCGTCAGCTACATGAATGAATGATTTGACAAACTATGTACGAGTCTACATTGAATTAAACCGTTATATTATTATATTCACTTATCTATCACTGCTCTTGTCTTTGCTGTTGCAAAACGCAATTTCCCCACTGTGGGACAAATAAAGGTTTTCTTATCTTATATCACGTACATAAAAGCAATTTATTTCTTAGTTGAGGTCAAATTGGAATTTTACTTAAAGAGTTATTTTGGACGTCCATTGTTCTGGAAATAAAAGTATGCATGACCACCTTTAGGCGATTGACAGTAGGAGTATTGATCTGGTTAAAATTAAAATAAGTAAAGAAAATAATTTCCCAACACTATAGAGAAACAAAGGGAAACCAGAACATCTGCTATCTGTTTCCGAAGAAAACCTCATTCAAAATCACATTGACATTTGTAATAATGCAAATTACTAGAACTGATTTTTCTGGCCATTTGAGGACGTATAACCTTTTATGTTTATATGGAAAACTTTTTAGCAAACAGTTGTCTATTTACACATTAATCTGGAGATGTGATGATGTCCACCTGATGAATGTCAGCAAAAGACGGCGGCTGGAAACGACGCTATGAGAGTGGTGAGAGTGAACCAAAACAGTAATGTTGTGAAACTAAAAAAACTAAATCATGTCTGTGGGTTTATGTCTACGAGTGACCCATAATTTGGGGTCCAAGCCAAGGCTGGGAACCTTACAGTCTATGCTGGGCCGACACCAAATTTGGCACGGATAATCTCTGGACCAAGCTGAAAAAAGCTTGTAGAGGAAATTTTGATCCGACAAAAAATGTCGCAATTATAAGCTAATAAATGTTTGCTAAAAACACTAAAAACAGGAAGTGATGTCATATCTTATGTTTGGAATGGACTATCGACCACAAGGTGGCGCTATAATCAAAGCAAAAATACTGTGAGAAAATCCCATTCATTTCAATGGGATTTTGAACCAAGGCACATTTTGCCTCGTAACTACGCACCACTACATCGCACATTCGTAAACCTTGTCTACGTTTTTGGGGGATACTGGCAATTCATTTGGTATAGGACACGCCTTTGTGCGATGACGTTTTCATTTAGCTAAATCGCGATAACTGAAAAACCTATTTTAATTAACTCCTCAGAAGCAGCAAATCCGATGGACACCAAACTTGGCACGGACCATCTCTGGACCAAGGCGATAAAAGTTTGTAGAGGAAAATCTGATATGCGAAAAAATGTCCCAATTACAAAATGTTTGCGAAAACGCTAAAACAGGATGTGATGTCATATCTTAGGTTTGCAATGTCCGATCTACACGAAACTCGGTGACCTTTTCTGCGACGCCGTCCCAAGGCGCTGTGTCAAATTTGGCATCAATCGGCCTCTAGGTTGCGTTACTGATCACATATCAAATAACACTCCCATAGACACACATTCATTTTAGATCTCCATAACCGCAAGTTCGTTTAATTTCAAAATGTGGTCATCTATTCGCCACGGGCACCCAAAGCCACGGCGGGGCACCCGTGTCGCACGGCCCCCGCGGGACGCTTGCAGGGTGCTTGCAGTTCTAGTTGTTATTTGGTTTTACCTTTGAAAATCCTCAATGTGAGACTGCATTTGTTATAGAACCTAGTTAAACATTGGCCAGACAGGAAGTGGCTTCAGGATTTCAGCGGTTTATACTGCTTTAGAAAACCCAACTCACTCTCCTCGATCCACAGTCTTGTTAGGAGACATGCTGTAATCAGAGGAAACGTGGAAAGTCTCATCTCCAACAGTTAGGTTTAATTCCTCTGGCTGTGTGTTTAGGAACCTGTCAAATAAAAATTTGAAGAACTCATGAGCAAACTTAACGGATGAATTAGCTTAAAATATTTTTGTAAGTATAGAAGATGAGTCGTAACCTCTAAGGTTAAAGATAATTTACCTCAGAAGAGGATTTCCACCTTCATTTTTCTTTATATGGTCATCCACCTGAATGTAAAAAAGGAGCTCAATCAAATCTGATCAAACCGCACTCACAAAGTTGGAGAAGGGTCCAACTGAGGATTCACGTCAGGGTAGAGTGAGTGTCACTTCCACTAGCAGTCTTTTTTTATTTTTTACTTGAGTTTATTTTAGCAGATCTGAAAAAGTCATGTTTCTCTGCTCAAGACTTTAAAAGCAGTGTTAACGTATTATTTGAAGGTATAAGGTAAAAAAATAAACAGTAGCTAAATATTCTTATTACATTTTGTATTGTATATATTTATTAAATATTATGTGTGTTAAATGGAGAAATACTATGATAAATGACAGTCTGGTTGACATAAAGTGCAGGAGATCTCTTAGAGAAGCTAAAATCTATGTTTATTAGAAGCTAACGTAATATTTATAAAACCTTGTGAAACAGATTATATAATGTATCCGATTAGCTGAATATTAGAGTTTTAAGTTCTTGATTAATAATAATAATAATAATAATACCAAAGGATGTTCTTTTCACTCACAAGTTTACACTGGATTCCAGTAGTTTCGGAGAATAAGATGAGACTGTAGGCCTTCTGTTGGTCAAACGTGTGATTACACTCTGAGGTTTTTCCATTGAGGGTGACCTCAATCTTAATTCCCTTGTCAGACGTCTCCAGCGGAAGCATTTCATATTTAGGAGGGTCCTGAGACAGAGAATCCAGAGGGTTAATGTTCAGGTTCTTGATCTGAAAAAACATCTCTGACTACATGAGAGAATTAAAAACAGTAGAAATTCTAGTGTCTGTTGAGCTCTGAACTCAACGTAAAAGCAGAACATATTCAAGATGCATTTATCAGTATTATTAGTTTAGAAAACTGAACCATAAACATTCATTTTACATATTTCCTGGAATGAAGTTGTGAAATTAGCCACTGAAGAGAAAAAAAACCTAATCTCTAAAATGTTCCTGCAGAACAGCTGTAGGCTCAGATAGTGGGGTTAGTAAACACAAGTGTAGCTTAGTGGGTTCATTAAAATGCAAATACAAACCAATAAAACAGACAAAACGAGTTTGAAATATCCAAAGGGCTTTGCCAAAAATAAACACAAAGAGCACATTCATTATGAGCCTACAGTATATGTCCATTGCCTCAAGCTTTTGTGTTTTACATTAGATATTTCATTTATTTTACATCCACACTGGATAATGTAAAAAGTAATTTTCCCCATTTCCAGTCTGGTTACCTGAAGGTATTGGATTGGCTCTGTGAAGGGGTTGCTGCCGTGGATCTTCAGACTGACATTACCTTCTGCCAGGTTAAAGACCTGCAGGAGACACGTCCCCTCAGGCGCAGGATCCACCACCGTTTTCTAGCAGACAGAGAACGGAATTACAGCACCAGACTGATAAATATCAGAGAAGAGTCTTTATAATAAATTAATATAATATTATAAAGACTTATATGCTATTTTGTACGGTTCATGGAGCTCTCACTTTTTTGAGTATATGCTCAGAGCACTACAATGAGATGAAAATACAAAAAGTTAAAGCATAGCTTTAGTTGTCATTCCCATACACTGTGGACAACACATGGGTATTATGGGGATTGCATATTATTCATAGCAGAAGATGGTAACAGCAGTAACATGTTACCAAAAAGTAACAATGGACAAAGCTGCGCATGTATTGCCCAGAAGAACATACGGTATATATTTTTTGACAAGACAAGTTGGATCAAGATTAGGGCTGAACAATAATCAGTTTTCAAATTGCAGGAGGCGCAATATGGCAAAATGTGTGTCAAAATACCTTTTTTAATTAAATATTGTCCTGCCCCAAAACACATTATCTTCTACAGACTTAAGAAAGCATCTTTGTTTGGTACAGAGCCTTGCAAAACTCACACTATAATCATTTAAAAATTTCTTTCAATGAAATTGAAAATCATTCCCTCTAATACCACAAATCATATTGCAATTGCAATATCAGTCAAAATAATTGCAATTAGACCTTTTTTCAAAAATCATTCCACCCTAATAAAGAGGATTCTAAACATAAATAAGGTTTATTATTATTGTTATTATTATTACTACCATATAGCTATACCACAAAGTCTCCATTCTGCACACAAGCTTTAAAACATAACTGCAAGCTGCTCACGCGACAGCTCAAGTTTCAGCTGCCATCTGCTACAGTATGAGGACATCTTACAAAAATAAATTTGGGTGCTCAGTTTATATTACAACCCAACTGCAAGGACAGCTCAGTGCATTTTGGTTGTAGTTGTTCTCCTCCAGGAACTAGAATCTAAGATTTAAGAATTTGTTAAATGTTGGATGCACGGGAACAGTCTACATGTGCAGGTATTTTCATGGTTTCTGCCTGGGTATGCATGCATGAAAGTAATCCTATGTGTGTAAGAGAATAAGAGTTTCGGTGAATGTTCTTTATTTCTGTGGCGAGAGAGAGACAATATCCATGATTGCTGCTCATACGTACCACAACATTCACCTCCACCAGTGTGGCCGCTCCGAAGGCCAGCGCTGCAAAAATCATCCCTGTGGCCATTTTCCTTAGAGGTCTGAAGGCAAAGAGACAGTGAATACTTTTATACACCTGTCATTACTGTAAGCCCAGTTTGTGTTTACTATGCTGAAAGTCAAGTTTTATCACTTCATGAATCAGAAAGATGACTTCCACATCAGTGTCCTCGCTGATCTCGTGCCTGATAAGAGACTGCCTCGTCACTTGTTCCATCTGTTGCAAAGGTGTGTTTTACAATCTGAGCTATTCTCTAAGAAAATAAATCAGTATTATGAAAAAGCTCTGTGATATTCTTGTTTGTGAAATCACATCTGTACTTCTGGAAGTAGTTTTAGTTCCACTTTCCTAAATAATAAGAACTGAAATGTGATAATTTCTTATACAAAGAAAACCTTGTGTTTTGCAACATGCTATGACCTCTCCCCAGATTGTAAAGGGAACTGCTGAGTGCTCCACATACATTAAACACTCACTCATCAGATTTACAGTTGTAAATATACAGTATGTATATGTACGTGAACACATGCTTTTCTTCATTTGTGAACAGTTTATTCTCCTGCGGCGCATCTGTGGAATATAAATGTGAGGTCACAAGGCTAATTTTCCCAGTTTAAGAGGCCTTTTTATGCTCATGTCTGCAATAAAGATGGGACTATCCAAAACAAAGGCTTCTTTCTACTTACGTGACGTTGATTCTGCAAAGGCTAACAAGCGGATATATGATGAGGTCAAAGATGGGCACAAAGAGAAGAATCAGCAGAGCGTTCAACATCTAGACAACAGGGAGGGAAAAACACTCAATAAAAGGCTCACTGAAACTCATAAAATCATAAAGGTTTACACATGAATAAAGAAAGAGAGATTATGATTCAATATCAACAATAAAGTGATGCCAAAATGGCAGTGTTTAAGAGCAGCAGAAGTGTTTTCATGAGTCAAACAAACATCAGTCGTGCTTTACTTGAGGTTTTCATTTGCGTGTGTTTTCACATAAAACTATATAACAATGTACACGTCTGTAGGCATTAGATAAATGAGTTTTTTTTAAATGCACACCATGCCTGGTGCACATGATTTTGGCAAAGCTTGACAGACCTGCCATGCATAGTTACGATTGCTAATTGGAGAACATTTTGATGAGAGGTTGTCACCTTGTTTTTCCTTTGGTATGTGGTCATGGTATAAGTGATAATGCACATTAAGGTATGTAGAAATAGAAGATAATGAGACGAGAGGAAATGCCAGTCCACTTTACCGCATTGCAGTGTTGCTTATTCACCACTTCTTGTATTTTCTCACATCACAACTTGTTGTGCATTTTTGTTTATTTCGCTGAGAGTGGGGGGACCTGCACATACCTGCATTTGGTCAGGCTTAATAACGAAGGAATCTCCCTGTAATAAAACAAGATGGCAGGATAAAACAGGCTAGCCATTTAAACTTTAACTTCATAAATCTAACACGATCTGCAGACATTGCATTGCCCAATATAATTCCCTTAAACCTGGGGATTGCATGATTTATCGAGGCCATAACTATGTAATTTACTGGAATAAAATGACAAACTGCAACAACACCCTAACAAAGGGAAAGTGTGTTTTACAAGACAGTTTGCTCATTCAGATGAATATCAAAACCCACCTACTGATATCAAAGTGCCATAAAAGATGTTATCAGTTATCAGCAAATTTTGATGCCATTGTAAGTTCATGTAAAGGAACTCTTACAAAAGCCATGTTCATCCTTGTTGCTTGAAGTGTCCAACGGGAACCCTGCAATAAAGAAAAACGCATGTAGTTGACAATTGTTAGCTTAGCAAAGTCACCCTTTAATCACAGCTGATTCCTATTGTTTGTTTTTTGTTTTCTGGAAATTGTGATGTGATTTCCAAGGAAGACTTGGGTTTATTTGTTTGTTTGTTTTTCAGGGGAGAAGATAACAGATCATTATGGGATTTTATTAGTGAGATATGACACAAGACCTTGACCTGCTGACCTTGACCTGGTCATATATGTACAATTTACAAGAATTGCACATGATATTGATTTAAACACTAAAAACTCAACAATGGCTTCTTTATTCTTTTACCTCAGTAAAATGAAGCTGCTGCTTTAATTAGCAAGTGAAATTAAAATTCATAAGAAATTACAGACTACTTCAGCTGTGTCCCAGCTCCACGCTACATCCAAAAATAACAAAATAAATGATAATGATAATGAGATGCCATCTCAATTAGGGACAGCTGTAAGTCTGCAACCAATCACACTCCACATAAAAAATAAATAGAACCCTGCAGTCTTGATTGGATTATTGTTACTTAACATTATGTACATTAATGTGTTTGCCCATTGAAAAATATTTGGTGCCTTGTAGTTATTTTGAAGGCTTCTCTTTATTTATTGATGCTTATTTTAAACTTGCCATGTCAATGTATGGTTCATCTACAAATGTTAGTGAGTGTATCTTTTTGAGGATGTTGGGGTTAAGTTATTGTTACCATGGAGAGTGTATTATTTTTCTAGCTCCACATTATGATATAGCATACTGTCATCTAGTAAAGTGATGTTTGGTATTTATCATAGACTGTATAAAAGAAGTTGACGTAGCAACCGTGATGTCACCCATTGATTTGACTGATCATATTTGGACCTGAGGATGAAGCTGGGGAGGGATACGCATTGCTACGCTTTACAGGTCACTGTGTTAGCAACTTGTAACTCACAAGGTAGCCAAGCATACCCCAGCTTAATTGTCTATTTTACTCAAATGGGACCGTAATTTACAAAATATGAAACCGTGCTGTATTAAAGACGACTTCTTTTTGCAAGCAGTGGAGTTGCCATAAGAAATAATGCAGGTTTCGGTCACTTCCACATTGGCTTCACTTTTCAGACCCGGAGGTTACGTCCATTTCTTTTTATCTATGGTATTTATACCTTCCTATTGCACGTGGGGAATGTGATTGGTTGCAGACTTACTGTCACTACCTACTTTGAGATGGCTTCTCATTGTCACAAGCCTTCTGCCTGATCATCTAGCACTGAAACGTCACAAATAAATGTATAATTGCAAGTTAGACAACATGTGGGAGTTAATTTGCAACTTTTGATCCACTCGTCCCTCTCCTGCGCACTTGTCTCATGAAATAGATGTGCAAAGTGTACTTCTGTTCTAAAGCAATAGTTCAACATTTTGGCAACTACGCTGATTAGTTTTCAATCGGACAGACCAGACGGAGTTAGCCCACAGCTGGCTACCTTAACTTAGCATACAGACTGGAAATAGGACACAGGAAGCCTTGCTCAGCAGTGAAAAAATTACTCACTAATTAAAATGTTGTTTTATCTGCACAAAATATGAAGTGTAAAAATGACAATTCGCCATTTTACTGGGGGTCACGTGACTGAATTTTTTTGGCTGGGACCAGTAATTTCCTGGAGTCTCCACCGGTAACCTGCTGAGTTTGACGGGAATGGCATTAGTTTTACAGGAATATAGTGAAAGTATTAGTTAATCATTAAAGTGATTGTAATTTATCTTTAGGAGGACATTAATGTTTGGAACAAATTTCATGGCAATCCATTTTCGCATCCCAATAGTTGTCGAGATATTTCAGTCCCAACTAACAGTAGTAGGCCTACATGGTGCACGAAATACAGAGTTGGGACAGCTCTTGTTGCGACACTCTATAAGTCTTCTGCAGTCACGTACCTGCTGATCAAACAGAGCCCAGAACATTGGCAGTGGGATGTAGAGCACCAAAACCCTCAGCACCATCTTAATCTCCTGGATCAGACGCTTCTGTTAACACACAAACACAAAGACTGGAAAGATTATTGATGCACTGAAACCACAAACGCTCTTTAAATTGTTTCAAGTGGCATCCATATAAAAAACTATCCAACAAATACAAATTGTCGCATAGAAGAGTTAACAGTAAGAGTCCTTTTGTTACCGAATAGTTCTCCTCTGCCCAGTCCAACCAGTGCTTCCTCTGAGGGTCATACTCGATCTATTCCAGCGGTTTTTGATGGCAAACTGCAAACCAAAAGTTAATAACGTGAATTAAAATGGAAAAGTGGACAGCTCAGACAGAAACAGAAGCGGAAGCAATGTGCAAAATGTATAACTTTATTATAAGACAAAATGATTCTTGACATAAAACGGAATTAATGTTTGCACTTTAATAAATAATGTAATACGACTCAATTGGACTAGGAAATGACTCACCCCGATGCAATTGCAGACTTCCAATAGGATGTTTCCCTGGGAAGGATTCCTCTTGTACAATCCGCTGCCAGCAATGAACACAACTGCTCAAGATAAATGAAGCGTTAGACTGGAGTGAAGAAAACAGTTTATGTTGGAAATGGCTCAGCCGTTGCAACAATTCTCCTCTACTTTCCTGGTATCACCATCAAGTACCAACATACTAATATCAGCTTAATATTTCCCTGAACATGTGAAGAATCAGCAGAATCTAATCTAGTTTACCTTTTAAGGATGTTTTGTCCACTTACAAAATGCTTTAGGGTAACACATTCTCACCCTGATTGCGATCTGTCTGCAGCCCTTCCAGTGATAAAACACAGTTTGTTTTCAAAGTGTGCGGTCAGCCAAGCATAAATCCCATATGGATCAGTGGGGACGGGAGGCAGAGGCAAATACAACTGACTGTCAGGACGTATGTGTAGGGGCCTTGATCAAGAGGAAGCCCAGCCTGTCAAAAGCTGGACTTACAAACTTGCTCTCTGCAGATTGCAGCCTGAACTAAGCTTAGAATCTGAAATGTGACAGTTCATTTGGACATTGATAATTATATTATTAAAATTGCAGCATTACGTTGTAGCCTGCTGTATGTGCTTTTATTTATTTCCTGGAGGCATACAAATTAAGTGTATTTATGTTTTGTTTTGTGGCTTTTCTAAGCACAAATGTTTTGCTTTTTAGTAGCAGATTTGCGTTTCATATCCATACAGCTTGCTTGCATTCACACTTACTAGCACAGCAGCTATATCCAGTGCTTAGTTGCCTTGAAACAGGACACTGATGGGAAACTCCACTGTATATCCAAAAATATACAATATATCAACAAGACCGACATTATTAGCTGATATTGGCTTATTGCAGCTATATCATAATCAATACATATTTTGACACATAAGTGGAAACTTAAGAACACGTAAGACTTGTCTTAGTTTAAAATAGTTTGACCAAGCAATCCCAACAGACATTTATTATCACAGCCCTTTTATAACCTAATTTCATTCATCATTCCCAAAAATCTTCAAATAAAAACTCTACTGTCGTGCTAGCAGCTCTGTGAGGCTGTATTACAGACAGTGGTGTTAGTGAGCTTAGCGGATGGTGATGCTTAGCGGGTATAATGATACCATGTTCAGTATCTGGGGGGTGGTGATGGAAAAGACATAGGTTTAATTCCCACTGTGGCCCATCCACCAATGTGTCTCTGAGTAAGACACTTAACCCCTAGTTGCTCAAGAGGCGTGCAACCTCCGACATATATAGCAATTGTAAGTCGCTTTGGAGAAAAGCGTCAGCTAAATGTAATGTAATGTAATTTTAGTTTAGCATGTTAGCATGCTAACATTAGATATTTAGCACTAAACATGTAGTACAGCTGAGGCTGATGGGAATGACATTGGTTTTCCAGCTGTTTGGTCATAAACCAAAGTATCGGACAAGTTCAAATGCTGACCTGATGATGGTGCTAAAGGAAAAGTCAGAGGATCATTAAAGTGGTTACGATTCATCATGAAGGTGACATGACCGTCCAATAGTTGTTGAGACGTCTCACACTTTCACTGTGTCGATTACAAGTAGGGATGCACTGCAATGAAAATTCTTGGCCAAAGCCGAAACCGAATATAATTAAAGAATTGGCCAAACACCGACAAGTACATTCCAATTTTTTCCATGTATTTTGCCAATTTTGTTTACCATTGCATAAATTAAATAGTCAAAATGTGCTTTTTACTCAGTTCCCATGGGATTTGAAGAGACTATGGTGGGGGGGTCCGAGGCCCAAGAGGATCCGGTAAAGTAAATTACATGTGTCCGTTTACTTTTAATGGACACATGTGATATGTCTTACACTTTCTGTGAATATAATCCAATTAATCTTATTTCCATACTGTATAGACACCTTATTTTGAAAACCGGACGCTGTCACATGTGTATCCTCGCGCTAAATTCATCAAGTCCGACACGATTTTATAAATAATCTTGTATGTGGTTCTCTTTTGCATCTTTCTCGGACACTTTAAAATGCTTCCACACTGCCGACATGTCAACGTAATTGTTCGGTAAAATTTATTTGGTCTTTTGACCAATTACTTTCGGTGGCCGAACATTCAGTGCATCCCTAGTTAAAAGTGGATTGACACTCACCTAAAGCCACAACCATTAGAGCTGCAGGAACCCCAAAGGCCAGAGCATAGCAGTCACCACCAAAACACTGCACATCCCCTGCAGGAGCAAATCCAGCATTAATGACAGTTTCCCCAAGTCAACAGTCGCACCCTGACCCTCCACACAGGGAAACACTGGGTACATAACATGTGCTGAACATTAAGAATGCTCACCTCTCAGTACGGGTGTAATCACAGTCGACAAGAGGCTCCCAGCGTTGATTGACATGTAGAAAATAGAGAAGAATTTCTGCCTCTCGCTAATCTGGAGGTGAAGAACGAAATAATCAGGAGACACTTTTTACAATTATTGCAAAGATTTCATTATGGGATCTTTAAGGATTAAGATTAGTTTTCACTATGATTACTGTGTAATTCAAAATATAGTAGATACCGTACAATTATAGCACTGTAGAATTTCATATAACCTATTTATAACATAAATTAAAGCTGCATTTGTCTATTTTTGGTCAATAGGGAGCAAAAAAACATGACAGATACACAGCGACAACGTATATCAATACATAACACGTTTGCAAATATTTGCCTGTTTACATCTCTAGCATTCACTGAGGAACATTATTATCCATTTGGAGTGTTGCTTGTGTCCATCTGATGGATTTAAGTCCAATGTTCACTCTCCTTCTAGCTCTGGTTTGGTCTCAACAAACGATGCCTCTTTAGCTACAGATGTCTTTTTTATGTACATGCCATAAAAGCAAAATAATGAGGTAAATGAGGCTAAAACGCTTTGTAAAGCTAAAAAATATGCACAGTTTGTCTACATAAACAAATAATTCTTTTTTAGCATTATGAACGCTGATACAATGGGTCTTTTAATTCAATGTTTATATAAAAATTTTGAATTATGCAGGTTAAGAGTAAAGGGAAACCATCTGAGGAGAACATATTATTTGTTCAAGTGTAATTTTATCATTAAAACTAGTACATACACAGCAATTCCCAAGTTTAAACATTTAAAGCTCTGTTTGCTATTATTCCCATAACCTTGAGTAGTGTACTTCTGTGGCACAACAGTTACGCAGCTTTTATAGATGCCATGAACACATAAATGGATCGGCATCCAGGTGAATTGCAGGGACGATGTTTTATTGAGAGTAATACTTTAGTTGGCAACATTTTTTACTTTTACTTCTTCTGCACATGCAAGGCTTTATTGACTCACTTCACACGTTATTTTCTCTCAGTGTAATTCAAAACTGTACATGCTACACCACTTTCATATCCTCAAACTAAAGAGGAAATGTCTTACATTCTCCTCGTCAAACTGGTCTCCTCCAAATGCTGCCACGCAGGGTTTGATTCCTCCTGTGCCGAAGGCAATGAGTATCAGGCCTAGCATGGACAAAGCGCTGCAACACACAAACAAATGAACTCCTGATGATATGATATGTACATCATGTGTTAACTTAAACTGTTTGTCTATTAATTGATTTGATTTGAGCATGTCATCTCAGACGTGGAAACTCTTACTGTCTGATTGACTTTCAAATCGATAATAAAAATAATCGATGAAACTGCCTATCTCTGGCCTTTTTGAAGACTTCTGAATCACAGCCCAAATCTTTGATATGTTGAGAGATTCAAAGTAAAAGCTATTGGCACTTCAGTCTAATTCTTAGGGAACCTAATACATCTAATACACACCTTAATACACAGAGCTGATAAACTCATCTTTGTCTTCTATCTGACAGCACTGCACTTTAACTTACATGTGGACATCGCTGTTTCCCACAGTGGGAATGGCTCCAACTGACTTGACCACATGGCCTATCACATACACAATGGACAGGTAGATGATGGTCCTGTTGAAAGCAAACTGTGATTACATGTACGTACATTCAGAGCTGCAATCTTATTATTACACAAGATCTGTGTGTGTGTGTGTGTGTGTGTGTGTGTGTGTGTGTGTGTGTGTGTGTGTCCAGAGTGATTCGTCTCCACTAATAGATGGTGTTACACCATTTAGACAAAGCTCCCAGGGTACAGGGCTGAAATAATGGATGATGTATAACTGAAATCATGCCACTGATAAAGATGCACTACAGATGCTTGATGGACACAACTGCAACAAGTTTGCTTTATTTCTCACAATTACACATCTGTCTGCGTCACCTATCTACCACACCTCAGATATCTTGAGACAAATATGTCAAAACATTTGCACAAGAAGCTAAAACTCTGCATGCCTTCATACCACTGATTTTTTTTTGATTTTGGGTGAACTGACCCGATAATGCAAGTGCGGATGAAGGACACAGGGACTCACTTGAACTTTCCGAGCCAGGAATCAGCAATGAGAGCTCCCATTATGGGTGTGAAGTAGCAGAGGCTACTGAAGGCATGGTAGACAGCAGTGGAGAGATTCTTGTCCCAGTGCAGGTAGGTGAGGAAGTAGAGCGTCAGCACCGCTGTGAAGAAACACACAAGCATGATTTGTGACCCAGCTCAGGGCATTGGTGCTCCCAAGTCCACATGTCAGGTAAAAAAAGAAATACCTCAAAACATTGCAGGTCAACAAGACCTGCAAATTCCAAAGTCGTCTCCATATGTGGCAGAGAAATACAACCTGTTCTAGATGTTAACTGAAACATATTTACAATGTAAGTTATCAGAAGTATTGTTCATATTGTGTTCAAACCTGCAGTTCTTATGTTTACTTATGTTAACGAGATCCCAATGTTTCCAAATATACCATATTTGTTAGACTGAATTTTGGGGAATTGTGTATACAAAGATCCATCTAGAATATTTGATGGAATGGTTCAGCCATAAAACACATGCAGTCTTTTGCTTGAATGTTTCACTTAGTAAAAACATCATGTAGCTAATGAAGAATACGAACAAAATTATATATATATATATATATATATATATATATATATATATATATATATATATATATATATATATAATGAGATAATAATAATGAGATATTTATGAGATACTCTACAGAAAGTTTTGAATGAGATTATTTTCAAACCTTAAAGCTAATTTAGAGGAAAGTTATTATAAGTAACCTGAAGGGGATAAACTCCAGTGTTTGCTGCTGTTATCAGCTTGAGCTTGATTTCCATCACTACATAAGACAATACTGGCAAATTGGAGTCTCATGGACATGTTTACCATTAACCCTGGATCCTGTCTGTCCAACATACAGGTACATTTCAATACATCTGAATATCGTGGAAAAGTTCATTTTCTTAAGTAATATAATTTAAAAAGTGAAACTTTCATATATTCTAGATTCATTACACATAGAGTGAAATATTTCAAGCCTTTTGTTTTGGTTTTAATCTTGACGATTAACTTACAGACCATGGAAATCAAAACTCCAGGTATCTCAAAATGTATTTAACCTACGAAGATCTCTAATCAGCTATTTAACTCAAAACACCTACAAATGTTTCCTTAGCCTTGTGGTTCAGGTGCTAACAATGAACATTTCCACAATATTCTAATTTTGTGAGATGCTCCTGTACATTGAAGTAAACATCACAACTCATAATGTAAACTCAGCAGCCGGAGAACCTGCCCCAGTAGTGTAACACTTTGTCTTAGTTTAATGTTAAGTAGTAATGTTTAACTGATAATGAAATGAGAAGTAACTTGCTGCTCTAATAATTTATATGCATTTGATCATAAGTTCACTGATCCTGAGAAAGATTATTTGTTAAATATAAGACAAATCCCCATAGACAAGTGTTTAATATACTATATTTACCAATGTACCTTTTCAGTTACTAACATTTATCAGAGTGCATTTCAAAAAGCCAGATTTAGTGCTAAATTATGTCATTTTAACTTATATAGAGCAAACAAAAATCAATAAATAAATCAAATAAATGAAAATAATTTGTGTACTTCTCAGAACTACCTTTCAAATTTGTAAAATTCTCTTTTCTGCAATAAATCAGCATCAGTCCTAATCTCCAGCTTATTTTCTAAAGTTTTTAATTTAAACTGCAGATGAGGCAGAAATTCGGCATGTTTGTATGTGTGTTTGAACTGATTGAAGTAATGTGACCAACAGACATGTGAGTGTAAGTAAGGACATGTGAGGTGAAGACAGACTCCAGCTTGATCTGTCTATTATATACTGAGCATCATTACTCATTCAACTTTGTGTCTAGGACATAACACCGCTCTTTGAAAACAGAATTTAGGTCAATCTATACTAACACGTTGTCCAGACAGAAAGTGTGCATACCTTTCATGCCATAGTAGGAGAAGCGTTCACAGAACTCATTCACCACTATGAAGCAGATGCTGGCTGGGTAATTGGTCCCACATAGTTTCTAAAAGATGCAAAGTTTGTTTACTAAACATTTTTACATACAGCATGAGACATTCATTATACAAACGCACTGATAATACATCCGCAGTTCATTGTCTTATCTCTTTTCTCTAATATAAATATAAAAAAAACAACTTTCTGATTCATTCAGTACTGGAGTTTCACAATCTCTACCAAAGAATTGACCATTAATTGGTCATGGAATGCGAGAAATGTGGCTGATACATACTTCTTGTTAATCATTACACCGTTAGTCATTATGCAGAAATAAAAGTTACACAGACTTCTAATATGATCACTCTGAGCTAAACTGAGGAAAATTAGTTTATACTTACTAGACCCACAATTTTCATTTGTCACTACAAAATGAGAATCCCTTCAAATACCGTGAGTAAATACTTAATTTACCCTTTAAAACATACCAATCACTTTAATCATGGACTGTTGGTAAGAGAGAAATCACATCATTTGGCCATTATTTTGAAAAGGTGGAAACCGAACCCCTTAAAAACGCTTTAATTTGAAAAGCACCTGACCAACAAATTAGGGACAATTTAAAACACACAATAAGCTCGTTACATTTTACTAGAACTACTCAACAGAATATATAATGTATTATGATATTTTTGATTTTCTTAAACAATTTGTCAATTAGTTGATCTATTGATACGCTGCTTTCATCAGTTTTCTACCATATTTTTGATAAAGCAACAATTTGAAGCTGTAACCTTGGTTTCTGGGAACTTGTGATGGGCATTCAACACTATTCTATTATATACTAACACTACTACATTATCTCTAGATAATCATCAGATTAATAAGTAATGAAAATAATCACTAGATGCAGACCTAGTACACACAAAGACTTAGCATCACCTGGACCAGGTACAATGGTAAATACTGCTTACATGATAATTTATTAATTTGAGACTTTGACAGTAAGGATTCATCATCAGAGTGCTTTAAAACTGTTTTAAGCAATATTTCTGCTAAAACTTAAATTGTGCTTGAGTCAAATTTGGATTGTTTGACTTTTACTTGCAGTTGGAGATACACCAAACTGGTATTGGTGCACTTTCTTTGTCAAGGTCATTATAAAATTCAGTGTTTTCTCCATCATCCATGCAGTCACAGTGATGCTCACATTTTTGTGCCACAGCAATCCCTGGTTTTAGGTTGGATTGATACATCATTGCTTGTAATGGGTTATTTAGTATGGCTGCTAATAGTCTATTTACTTTAAGGACCATTTCCCCAAAATAAAAAAGAAACACATTTCCTCTCTTCCCTCTTGTGGTATCATGCAAATACGGTACTTCAGGCTGTGTTTGTCCTGGGTTTGAGATATCTGTCTCCAAGATTTTTACCTCCTGCCTGCTACAGTGGATATGTAATTTTGTTTGCAGTCCTCAAAGCACAGTCAACAGCATCTTCACAATGTGCTCAGAAGATGTGGAAAGTAGTGTCAGTGAAAAATTGGTGACAGCATAGACAAACCCTCAGAAAATAAAAAAGAAACGTGCTTTCTGCATGGGGATGATTAAATAAGTTTGCTTGTAGCCTATTTTATTTAGGTGACCCTTTACATGATTTGCCACAGGACATGTTTCCAACAAGCTAATCAGAAACAGGGCACTCATGGCACCAGTTTTCTCTAAACAGTGCCTAGTAACGTTATGTATTTGTGTGAGTTTTACTTTTAGGGACGATGCGCCTGTTGCATCATCTCACTGCTAATTCCTCGTAACGGTTCAGTGAGATCTGGTTAGCAAATCAGAATAACTCCCTGACAATGTAATACGACTCTGCAGTCTAGCACAGACAAAAACACATCGTTGCTTAATTCACATATCTTTGAGGAACACTTCGCTCCCTTGTGTCCACGCAAGGGACACGCAACTTTTCACGGTGGATTAAAAATATATAGGCTTAATTTTTAACTTTTCAACAACCAAAACACACAAACAAACGGACCGACCCAGTTAATGCTGCACAAAAACATCGCTTATACTCACCTTATTCATCTTGCTTTATTTGCTGCTGAGCTTTTGGATGTTCACGGCCGTTTCGGAAGCCCCTGACTGACATCCAAGTCCGTCCCACTCTGCTCTGCTCTCAGAAGGCACGAATGCAAACCCTCGAATATTTATGTCCTTAAAGGCCGACTTAAAGTTAATATTGTACCGCAAAACGTGGACTTGTTCCTTCAGGAGACACAGACTTCAGCTCTTGTGAGAAAGACTCCCAAACAAATCACACAAATCAACCAGATCAGTATTTTTGAAGTTTGTATGAAACTCACTCTCTGTGGAGCAGGAGGTCCGGTGGTTGCAGTGGGTCTCGGCAGCAGCAGCCTCTAAATTCTGGTTTGTACAATAGTGTCGTTGTTTGGCGCACAGCCGCAGACCTGACTGTGGGATGGAGGGTCAAAGTGTTTTATAAGTGCTGGCCAAGCTGCCTCTTTTTTTCGGGTGGATGACGATTTAATTCATCACGAGCAATAACCTCGTGGGAGGGGGGGGGGGGGGGAGTTGTCACTTGGTCTGACAAGTCATTTAGTCAAGGATCATCTTAAAGTTTTCCACTTTGTATAATGAACAATACCAATGACTACACTGTGTTAACTGTGGTCACAATTTTGAATTTTAATAATCAATAAGTCCATTTTTTGATAGTATGCGTAATGAAACTTTCAGAAGGCAGCTGCAAATATACAGTTTGGACTATTTTTTCACCATCTTTGGGCGTGTCCCCCCTTTTTATTAAAAACAGTTGTTGTGCCAGTTGCGCCTGTCTGCCGAGAATCGCACGCCCCTCGCGGGAGCGCGCACAGCTAAAGCGAAAAACTACCAGACATTTCGAAATGATTTCTACGGCAAAGTGCTGTTTTAAAATGATATAAGAATCTTTGATAAATGATTGTTGTGATGATGTTATATGAACGTTTAGAGTCACCATTGTTTTATTAGACTAGAGTAACATTCCCTTGATAGGATTGGTCTTTGCGAGGTTTCATTTAGTTGGTGTTTATCTTTATAAAATACATTCAGACCAACCGTATAGCCCATGTTATATCGTTTTAAAACAGTACCTGTATTATATTATGGTATTTTTTTGTATACTTGAACATTTTTTGATCTCCTTCAGTTCTATATATTTCTATTTATGTTTATGTTCATGTGTACTGTAAGCAGCAATTTATACAAAGGCAAATTCCTCATATGTGAAAAGGTACCTTGCAATAAACCTGATTGTGATTCTGATTGTGAAAAGATCATTACAATGCTGTTTCGCTGTGCGCGCTCACGCGAGGTGCGTGCACTTCTCGGTGGGCAGACACAACACCTGTTAAGCTAAAACAGGGAGGCGGGGGGAGGGGCTAACTTGTGACAGGTGTTTAGACTTTTTTTGCATTTGATGGGTTAAACCAAAATGATCAAAGTTTGTGGCAGTTTTTTTTTTTTTAATAAACCTGTCCTGCCCAGCAGCCTGGTGTAGAGTATATATATATATTGTGCCAGACAGATTTTACTTAAACAAGAGAGAATTAATATACTCCTTTGTCTGTTTTATTATTTATTTATGTATTGATTTGTCACCGGGCAGACAGGGGGGCAGACATGGGAATGGGGGGGGCACAAACAGACAGCACAGAGAAAGGACAAGACCTGTAAGAGTAGGGGGATGGAAGGTGGGGACAACAGGGAAAAGCAGAGGGAAACACCAATTGCAGAAAGCAACGAAACCTGCAATAGAACAGAGAGGGGGGCTTGGGGAGGAGAAAAACAACAGCAAACAAACAAACAAACAAACAATAAAAATAATAATAATAGTAAAAGACAACCAGCCGAACAACAGTAATAAACAGCTGACATAGTAAGACAACTAAGAGAAAAATGAAACAGTCACGCACCCTAATAAGCAACACAGCACAGCCACGAGAGCTGGAATAATAACAATTAATTTAAATAAGTAACTGAAAGAAAAGCAGCAGGAATAATTCTACCAGGGACAACCTAAATTTGTTTGTGTCTATGTGTGAGATTGTGTGCGTGTGGGTGAATGTGTCTGTATGTGTGTGTGTGTGTGTATACATGTGTGTGCGCATAAGCCTGTTAAAGAATGTAGTTGTTAATGAGAGTTTGAGGCAGTTTTAACACATTCATGGAATTCGCTTTTGTGACTAGGTGCATAACATTAGACATAAATATAAATCTATGAAATTGACAAAATATACAACTTATAGAAGAAGGATAAGGACTATGTGCAATATGGCAGTTAAATATTTTCATGTGCACAAACAACTGGATGTCTTTGTGCAAACATTACCAGTGTGTAGCCTACTTTAAAAGTAGGAAGGGGATTTGGAGGGGTGAGAGTCACAGTCTTTTACTTATGTAAAAGTAAATACCACAATGTTAAAAAAAAAAAAATGTTTGGAGTTTTATTACTGATTCTTTAGTATCAAAGGAGAATTTTAATGTTGGTCAGCTTGAACTGCTTTGTATAATGCTGCCGAGTTTAACATTATAAGACTTTATTATATTTTAGAAATTGATCATGTTTTTTAGGTAAAATCTAAACCTGCAGTGGAACTACTGAATATACCTGTAGTTGGTTAAAATGTATATTTTTTATGTAGTGGAGTAGAAACATAAAGTAGTATACAAGTTATAACACTTCATACGTATATTTAGCCTTTCTTGACACCCACATTATTTTCTCAGTGCTACTTTAACTTGATTATTGGTTTGCAGGGACACTTGAAATTGTTAGACACCAGCTGATAAACTGCAAGACACAAAACAGATTCACCACAAATAGTTCAAACATTACTAAAGGTCCACTTACTAGCTTTTTCTGGAGATTTTTGCATGTCACCCTTATTAGGATAGTTTCTTAGTTGTCTTGGGATGGCTATGGTGTCAAGTCAGATGGTCATATATTTTGAGAGATGTTTAAGGATCTTTTTCGTCAGGCTTGAATATACTCCTTGAACTTTCCACTGACTCCTGGTTGACAGCTTTGAAGGAAAACTGGAGTGTTTTATGACATCACATGCAACACCTGTGGGGAACACTACATTGTCAGGACCGCGGATAGAACCTGAAGGAAGCTGTCAACTTCAGCTGTCGTTGTGCTCCAGTCCGAAACCGGTCTCTGCACCAACACTGAAGGGGCTGAAGGTCACTGACCAGCAGCCAGCCAATGACACCAAAAACCAAGGTTGTAGCCCTTTTGGGTTTACTGAGGTCATGAGTCCAAGTCTTTGAGTGCCAACCCACCCGTCTAAGAAATGTTTGACTATAGCCACCACCCTGTCAAATGATTATATATATTTTTTTACTTTCAACTTTGAACTTTTGTATATACATGTGTGTGTGTGTGTGTGTGTGTGTGTGTGTGTGTGTGTGTGTGTGTGTGTGTGTGTGTGTGTGTTTGTTCATTTTAACTCTTTAAATACAGTTGGGAAGTTTGACCTATAACATTGCCTCACATGTGAAATCTTAATCAAATAAATGTTAGTAGTGTAAAAAGAAACACTACTGAGGACATGATCTCAGTCTCCTCATGGTGGTTACAGCCCTGCTAGAGGTCTTTAAACAGAGACAGGGGTTATGATCTCCGCTCTGTACTACATTACTACCTGTTATCAAGACTACAAACTCCGTCTGCTGATGACAACTGTGACATGTATAACAGAAATAGATTAGTTTACACAAGGGTGTCCATCCTTCAGAGGAGGTTCTCTTCCACATGACTCTTGCTTGACTGACAAAAACAGGATATAGCCTATGTGTAACTTCTATTGCATAATATTTTAGCCTCCTAATTGCCTAAAAACACTGTAAAATCAATAGAAATGTGCAGATCATGCAATGTTTCTGATTGGAGAAAACAGAGGTCTTGTAAGTTTTAACATTTTGTCTTTATTACATCAGGTCAAATTATAGTGCAGATGCAGAACACGAGCACTTGATGAGGATTTCTCTGCTCAAAGACAGAAATACGGATTGGTGCTTAAACTCTCATGTTATGGCTCATAAATGAAGTCACAATTTATAAGCTAGATAATGTCAATTTTGCGATTTAGTAATCACGTTGTGTGACGAGCTGTCATGACCTACACATTTAACATTTAGAGCAGCTACTGGGAGTCAGTGGTGGTGGAAGTACTCAGATATGTTAGTTAAGTAAAAGTATCAATGCCACAGTGTAGAAAAGCCTTAGCTTCAAAATATATTTAAAGGTACAAAAGTAAAAGCACTCATTATGCCGAATGGCTAATTTCACAATAATGTTTATTATCTTATTGAATTACAATTATTGATGCTTTTATATGTACATTGGCATATTTGTTGTACTAAATATTCTTCCAGGTAGTTTGTGAATTTCTCAAAGGGTTCAACAAAGTTTAATCTTTATCCATTCCATTTGAATACATCATTTATTTGATTATATTTTCTATTAATGATCTGCATATGCAAAGTAACTAGTACCTAAAGGTATCAAAAAAAGTAGTGGAGTAAAAGGTATATTCCCTCCGAGTTGTTATAGAGAAGAAGTATAAAGTAGCAGAAAATAGAAAAAATAAAGTTCAGTACTTGAGAAAATGTACTTTCCAACATCTGTGTCAGAGCTTGTAAGTCATCAATACGTCAAGTCCATAAGCAAAAGCCCTGTCTGCTCAGCACACTCATTGCAGAGTCATTTCACGGCAGCTATAACATCTGTCCAGCGAGTCTCAATAATGTTTATTAATGTGCATTATTCCTGTTCAATAATTTAACAAATTAATGAAATAATGTAGTGTAGTAACAGTCTACAAGGTGGCAGCACTGGTCTGTAAAGACAATTGACAATAACAAATGAACAGAAATTGGAAGACTTGCCACATGCATAGCTCTAAGGCAGCAAAGAAATTAGTTTTTGTAGGTCATGAGAGAGAAGACAATGTTCTTTGTTTATAATGTAATTTTGGATGCATAAAGTTATGTTGTTTTTAGACCAAAGCAACAGTGTTTTTGTTGTTTTGGTATGCATGTGAGCTGGGCACTTGTACATTCATGACACAAATACTAATATCACTACTACTGTTATGAGAATTTTGTTTTATGGGATCGTATGCACAGACTGATAGATGACAGTGAACTGTATTCGAATCTTAAAAAAAGTAAAATGGATGTTCATAGTAGCATATCTATCTATATGTGTGGTTTAAATTTAGTTTTTTTGAGAGAGAAAAATCTTTTTATGTTATAACAAAATATTCTGCATGTTATTATGACATATTTTCTGGTTGTTATCAAAATTGCTTTTACAAGAAGCTTTTTTTGCTATTTCACAAAACCAATGTATCGTGTTAATACAAACATTTCTCGCTCTAACGTGACAAGTTGGTATGTTGTTATAAGAAGAAACCTGAAAGGAGAAAAAGGTTGCCGTAGGTAGCCTGCAG